CATAGAAGTCGTAAATATTGATAATAAATCTGTTCTTGACGTTGTTTCATTGCAACCATGTTAATCCGTCATATTTGATTTTATTTGTTAATGTTAAATCCTGCATCACAACGTAGGATATTTTATTCTTATACTTGTATTCTTTATCTATATTGGTGTGACCATGTTAATTATTCTATTCCTATTTCATGCCTCATCATCATCATCATCGTCATCATCAGCCTATAAGTGCCCACTGCTGAGCCAAGGCCTCACACGGAGAAATTTTGAGCATTAATCACCACGCTGGCTCAATGCGGGTTGGCGATTTCAAACTTATAATTAAAAATTGTAAGTCCAGGTTTCCTCACGATGTTTACCTTCACCGTATGCCAGTGGTGTCTCAATAATCATAGAAAGTACATATAACTCGGAAAAATTCACATTGGTACTTGCCAGGATTCGAACCCACACCCTTATGCATGAGAAGCGGACTCCTTAATGTCCGGGCCACCACGTTTTCATGCCTAACTACTCAAAAATGTCTTTCTTTTCATCACATTCTTCTTAAACATACGTCATCGCATCGTTAACATATTCATGTTTGATCATCAATAATCTCACAACTAATTCATATTCCATCCAAAATTTCTTTTACCATTGCAACAATCAGCAGTTTATTAGGGCAACCTCCTAACCATCTTTATTTTTTATGTGATAAGTCGGCAAACGAGCAGACGGATTACCTGATGGTAAGCAATCGGCGCCGCCCATGGACATCCGCAACTACGGAGGAGTTACGACCGTTGCCGACCTTTTGGGGATTAAGGTTTTGGAGATTCAAGGATAGCGGAAATAATTGTGCCTTCGGTAACCACACTACACCACACAGGGCGAAACACAACGTTGTGGTTGATTCACGCCAGTTCTCTGTGAAAGTCTGGTCGAGCCGACCCATTCGTAGCAAAGTATGACTCTTCCACGTTTCCACTCTTTCACATAAAATATACTTAACGTATCATATTTAAAAACGATAATAAAAAATTTAGGAAAACATTTGACTACAGGACTTTAACATCACAGCCAGTGACAGTTTACAACATCGTAAACAGAACGTGCAGTAAAACTAACGGTTGACTTAAACCGGGGGTATGTGACACGCACTTATCTGTTGGTTACCAAACACAACTTGTTTACGATAACTACTGTAACAAAGTTACTGTTTGTATAAAATTCGTAGATAAAAATACTCCCAAAATTGTTTCATGTCTTTCAGTACTTAACCTGTCAATCGTGGTAATATGAGACATAATAGTAAGAGAATAGGTGCGCGAACGCCGCGAAAGTGTTTGCTTGGGGTTTCAAAACAAATGGAAACCCCCATTATACCAAAGACACTATAACCATACTGGGTATAACACGGTTGCAGATTAAACAACATATTTCAAAACAAAATATATATTTTTTAGAAAACCATTTAATAAACAAAGTTCCGGATGATGAGACTTTCATCTCTTAAGCTCGTTTCTCTAAGTGAGCCACTATGGGCATAGTCATCCAATCTGGAGGGTTTTCCCAGCCCAGACCGAGCCCTAATAGTTCTGTCTGTTATTAAAGAATCAGGAATCTATCTTTTTTTGCAATCGCATTTGAGATCACCCCCCTAACGAAGTTCCAAAATCGGTGCAAAATTGTCATCAGCCCATAACTGCTCACTACTGAGCAGAGGCCTCTTTCCACATACAGAAGGTTTTCACATTAATAACCACGCTTGCTCAAGGCAGATTGTCGATTTCAAACTAGTGATTACAAATTATAAGTTCGAGTTTCTTCACAATGTTTACCTTCATTGTACGTCAGTCGTGACTACGTTATCTTAGAAATTACATCTTATCTTGCCAGTTTTGGAACCCGCTCCCTTATACATGAGAAGAGGGCTCATTAACGCCCGAGACGCCACGATGTTCAAAAATTTCAAATGCTTTTCGTATAACAATATTAATAGTAAACTTACGTTAAAGAACACGTCTTCCCTATTATCCATTTACCATACGGATCAAAACACCACTATAAAAATATTTGATTAGTTTTCAGCACATTGCCTAACGTAGCGTTTAGGGGTCATTGTCAAAGTTGTCGTAAATTCCAAGCGGGTTTTTATGACCCATATAAAAAATGGTCATAGGTTTATTAGGTAGTGAGTGGTCTATGTCCAGTGATATCGGTTTCTGGTCGTTTCTCTCCCGTTTATGACCTTTGGTGTTATTGACCTTACTATGTTGTAACACCCTTTACAAGTAGCTTTTTGGTGGGGGATAGTGTGGAAACTTATGTATCTTCTTTATTATATATAGTTCGCTCATTACTGAGCTTTTTTCTCGTGTCCTGATATCGCTTCCGACGACTATACGTATTAGACAATTCGAGACTCACACAGACTTTTGTCATTAACAAATTGCACCGGATTAGGCAACCCTTTAGTAATTTAAGTATCTGTTTTATTGCAAGAAAATAAATATCTAGCATTAATACAACTACGTAACTGCTTTAGCCACGATACTGCTAACGCATTCTGTCACTCAATCTGTGAATCAGTTCAACCCACTCCATTGAATCTGTCCAGGACTCAAAGACTGTCTCCATATACCTAGTATATTATGTACATGAGATATATTTTTTTATTCTTGAAGACAACATAGCTTATTTGGGTTTTAATACAAAACGGAACCAAAATAGAGAGAAGGAATAATAGATTAATATCATAACCATTTTGACGATACCAATTAATAATACGTAACGTACATTCTATTTAATTCGGACAAAGGACTAAGTAGAATGCTTGTACTAAAATAGAATTTATCTACTGTATAATATATCATTTAAATACTGATAATGTTCATTAAATATTAAATTAAATATAAAATTTCCATCATATCACTAAATCTTATGAAAAAAATTCTCGAAAATGAGCCGATTTGACGAATTCTTTTCATTCTGTGTCATCAAGCAAAGAAAAGTGTAGGCGCAAAAATCTTCCCACATCTTTTACGAAACAGTGAACAGCCCACAATATAGAATGAATACAAACACATGCTCGATTTGAGTCGAATACTTCTAACAGACACCTGTACGTGTTTTTCATATAAATAAACCAAGATATTTCTTTTAAGAGTCTTCGGGTATACTAATCGCGTTTATTTTTTTTACATAAATCGAGCTTAACGGAGGAGTGAGACGTTCTGGGTATTTTTTTTTTTAAGTATATAGAAAAAAGTTGTTGTATATTTTTAGGTGTCGACCCCACAGAAACTGAATACAAGCGTTTACAGCTACGCTATTACAAATGCACTTCCCAACCCAACCAATAGGAAATACGTTCATCTTTAAAGCTATGAAGTTTTAAAATTTTCTCAACGACTCTGTGATCCATGAAAAGTGTATAATTTTACGACAATACATATTTTATAACTTCAATGTGAAGTAAGATTCAGACGAAGTACTATGTTGTATGGACTAGTGGTCGCGAGTGTAACTGTACCAAGTACTCATAGTGTCGGTTTCTATTTAGAAATCAGTTAAAATACTATTGAAAATAAAATGTTTATAGAATATCTCTATCACAGATTAATTTTAACTATAGTGAGATCTCTATGTAATACCATGGAATATGGTAATACACTCTTTAACACGAGACTCATAATAGAACTAATATAAAGTTGATGTTTCATTGTCTATGTAACTGTAAGTAGGTTACATAATATAATACTTGAACGAAAAGCAATAATTTAAACGTAAAATTTAAGTTTCTTTTTAACTTACACGTGTTACATTTTACCACAAAAATAACGACTGCAAAAATAATCGTCTCGGTCGTCAGATCATAAAGGCAATCTACCCAAAGGAGGTTTACAACTCAGTCGATGCTTTAAACTATACAACCTCCTTTGTTTTACTAACTCATAAACTAACTGTCATTGTCACTGTCATCGTTTCTACCAGATGTTATGTAAAATTCCTAGTGACGCTATTCGTAAGTAAGATAGGAATAAAATTATTTATTTACGGAGGTCCCGGTTATCGGGGCTTTCCGAGGCTACCTATCGAGTAAGTACAATACATTTTCATTATGATTCTCAACTGTTCTAGTTATCTTCACGAGAATTGATGCAGTATTTCATCATGTGAAATCATATTGTACATAAAAGACACTCCTTATTCCTTCTCATAGCAGGTAAGAATATTTAACTCCAGTATCCAGAATACGTAGCTATGTATTTGATTCCTAGACTATGAAATTTAACAGTGATGTGCTAATATGTTACAAAATCCACCTCAGTTTCCTCTTCGAGTAAGACAGTCCGAATATTTTGTAAGATCAAACATTACTTCTAAAAATAACTACACGTCCATCACAGGATACAAGCTAAACCTTTCCAAGTTAATGTATTCTTTTTAAGTTAATTTTGGCTCCAGCAAAGGAAAATGTCATAGCAATCAGGTCCCCTTTGATTTGAAAGGCATTTGATCTTTTCTTTGAACTGGAAATGAAAAGGTTGATTTTAAAAACGACTTTGTTTATCTAAACCATTATTGGTGGGAAGAATTTTGAAGTGTATAAACAAACTTAGTTAACGGCAAAAGGTCATATTAAATATTAGCTATAAAAAGGGTAACACTAAAATGCTTTACCTACGTAAGTGACGCTACACGATTAAGTGGCAGCTTAAGTAGAAAAACATAGCTTTATTTGCATTATAAGTGGGTATGATTTCTGTTTTGTATTTTACAGTCATGGAAAAGCCTGCTCGCTACAAGGCAAAAAGTAAAAAACCCGCCGCTAAACCTAAAACGGCAAAGAAGCGTAAATGTGACGGTAATTTATGTAACTGTTCTTAACATTACACGATTCCTTAAGCAATAAAATATATTGAAGATAAAATGGGTAATTTTATTTTCAAAACTTTGTCACCAATTTTGTGACATTTAAATTGTGGTCAACCTTAGGTGACAGTATGTTTTCAGGACCCACATGCTCTATGTTTTTGGCGGAATTAACCAGAAAATTGGCAATGAAAAAGAAACAAGAAGAAGAATCCCCAAAAAATATTGTTCGTAAGTTGAAAATTGTTTTAAGTGTTATCTTTGGAACAGCTTCATTTAGACATTTCCAAGTAATGTGTATTTGTAAATAACCTTAGCTTGCTCAGGGCAAAAACAATTCTGACCATAAGCCTTTTTTCAGAGACAATAATAGACAGCATTACAAATGCGTTGCCAGTCAAGCTTTCAAAAAAGTCGCCACAGAAGTGTTTATCACCAATACAAATTGAGACGTTACAAACATTTGCACCAGAATTAACACCTAAGGACACAATAAACTTCCCTCTTCCTACGACCACAACAAGTAACATCGAAGATGTTTCTATGGAAGACATAGAAATCTCGAGTCCACCAAAGCCTGGAACATTTAAAATGCCCAAAATGCCATTAGTTAATAGCGACATATTAAAAGCATCAGCAGCTACGGCAGAAAGGGAAAGGAAAAATCAAATGCAAGATCAATCCGTTAACACAGGCACAGATCACGATGTTGCTTCAGAAATTGCGAAACATGTTGGCACGTTAAGAAAAATTTCTTTGATTGCTGAAGAGTTTAACCAAAAAACTGGTGAGTTCCATTTCGTCGTCTGTTTATTAGTTGGTCTTGAATGTACTTCCTAACAACATCATCTCAACCCAGATGTTGCTTATCTTGCAGCGAAAAATTTAAAAGAAATAGTAGACAGTGTCCAAGAGGATTTGATAAAGAAACTAGAAGAAATACAAGCAGAGCAGAAAGCTAATCAAGACAAACACATGACCATCACTGAAGATGAAAGCGTTGCGGACAGTGACGACTAACCAAGAAGTTTAATCGCCATATAAGAAGAAATCATGACTGACTTAAGCAACTTATGTCAAATTCACATTGTCAAAATCAAATGCAATAATTTTTAAATTTTCTTCAAATTGATTGTAAAAAAATTAAATAAACAAATCATTACTTTGGTTTTTTTATCCGATAGATTTTTGAAAAGTATATTATAATTTTCCTGAAATTTGCTGTGTTTCGGGGAAATAGTGAGCGTGCATCGGAGAGATAGTTGGATTCTGTTTTTGGAGTCTGAAGGAGATCATCTATTAGAAGATGAATATTGGTTAAAACTTTAACACTATGGGATCATGTTCTTGTCCGTGTTCTCTTGGTTAAGAAAACTGAGAGCATTAACAGGAGCAAGTGTTAAAAGCAAGGGTAAAAAAATTCTAAGTAATTGACGAAACTTATATAAAAATAAAAATAAAATTGCTTAAGACAACGAGATGGAGTCTAATGCACATAATGACGAAGTTGCTAATGAAATGTTTAAAATTGATGAGTTTGGGCAGAACATAACAATAGATATATCAAATTCTAAACAGAGATTGTTTAATGGTATTAATTTAATACTTACAAATAAAACAAAAACTGCAGTGGTTAATAATAGATCAGTAACAAAACTTCATAATTATCAACAGACCAATCCAAAGAAACGACCAATAGCAAGCTGCCAAGAGTTGTTCGCCAGCCAGTGCAGTCAAAATTTCACAAAGGTATTCTATAATTTTTTGCCTTTTTATTAACCAGCCTGGTAAGTAAATAATTTTATGTTATATGTATTTATAACTAATTTATCAAGATTTCGATATCTTCCAATTGAGACGAAACTTTTGAAACTTTCTTGCTATTAGTTAGAACGATACTATGTTCTTACCGTAAGTAAACATGTTTAGTCACATGAACGAAGTTGATTCGGTATACGGTATGGTTCTTGTTTTAGGAGATTCTCTACTTGGACCAAGCAAAATGGGAGGGTTGCCAATGAAAATGAAGAAACTTAACTCAAGTTAGTATTAAGTATTTTATTATATTTATATATAAACATCAATACCACTTTTCGTTGCTATCAACTCAACAATGCCTTTACCGATTTGACTAATTTTGGTCTTGAATTATTCGTGGAAGTCCAGAGAAGGTTTGTACGTAGACAACATTTTGAAGAAATCTTCAAAACGCGGGTGGAACCGCGGGCGATTGCTAGTAGTCTATACATTTTTAAAATGAATCATACTATCTAAGCTGCTTTAAAATACAACAAACATCTTATATTTTTGGACACCCATGAAACTCTAATTTAGAATTGTACTTTTATGCATTAGCCAATACGAGCATCGGTATATTTAAGTATCTATGTTTTGAACACTACCTTATTGTGAATCAGATGGGGCCCTTATTTTCAGCCGAGGTTGCGGGGCTCCGTAAGTCTGACACTCGTTCACCCCATCCTGGACGGGAGTAATCATAGGATCCTACATCCTCTAAAAAAACCTTAGTGGTAATTTAGAACGTACTTGTAAAATAATTAAACAACGTGGTGCGAATTACATCAACCAGAGCACATACGTCAAATTTTTTTCCTAAATAGTTACTTGTGTAATTATCTTTTTTTCTCACCATGAAGTGACACGACCAAAAATATCATCATAATATGTATAATAACTTGCATACATCTCATTAATATTCTCATTAGAAATGTTTCATAATGGAAGACTATACTAACTCAATATTTTTATTCGAAACAGTTGAAAAATCTAAAGCAAGTCACATACCACGTCGAAAAAGCAAAAAAGAACGTTACAAAGAAAATTGTGAATTGCCAAGAATATCCGAAACTCCAAATAGAAGCCAGTTTATACCTGAAGGTAGAAATGTTCAGAGAGTTCAGATGTTAATAAATCAAGGTAAATATGAGAAAATGCTAGGTGTCCTACCAATTTCTGAAAACCAATTTATAAAGTAACAACTTTCTCACGTGAATGAAGTAAGTGACTCTTATTTATGACGACTTAATCGGCTCAGTCGACTACGCAACGTGTGCTGCGATCGCTGCGATGCGCACGCTTCTCATATAATAAATAAAACTTCCGTTGCGACTTGAAATCATTAGAGTTATTCTTAGTGAACTCGCATGAGTAAATCGTTATCTATACTAAAATTATAAAGTGGTAAAATTTGTATGTTTATATGTTTGTAAGTTTGTATGTAGGGGGTAATCTTTGGAACCGCTGGTCGGATTGCCAAATTTTTTTCTGTGATAGATAACTACAATGTTCCTGAGTGCTACAGGTTATAAAACATCACGCTATGATCAGATGGAGCTGAACAGCGGGTGAAACCGGGAGAGAGTAGCTAGTTTTGAATAAATGTATGCTAAGTTTGTTTTGTAATTTTACGAAAGTGTGTTTTTTGAATCCATTTTATTATATCATGTCGTGTTTGGAAGTTATTTTAGAGGTAAATTTTGGCTACAACTACCACGGGCGCAAAGCTAGTTATTTATAATAATTATTGATTTCTTGGTATTTATAAAAAATTAGTACACTGATAATTAAGTAGTAATGCTTGCGTATCGCTCTGATGGTAAGCGATGCCATAAAATAAACAAAAAATAAAAATGTTCTCTGGCCACGAAAGAACCGGGTTATTAAGCTATTTTTCCGACTTCTTAAATGTGGAAGAGCTATACTTCTATTTCATCACTTTTATAGGTTAAGGGGTTTATTATTTTATCGATAACGAACCTTAGTGATTAGATTTTACCATTGGATTCGAAAAGGAGTTGAGGCAAGCAAGCACTTCGTCAGCTATGCAATGTAAATTTGAACTTAGAAATTCCATCAGTATTCTTCTGTATTAAATCGATTTCACTAATATTAAAATAATCGTTTACACATTTCTCGATTGATTTACAGAATTTTGTCCAGATGATCGCGTAGCCCCACCGGCGTCGGTACAATCAACGAGACCTATTCCGACTCTGGGACAGATTTATGGCCGAATCAATATGATAGATAGTGACCGCCTGAACGGTAAACAAAATGAAGTATTGTGTCGGTTCTGGATTACACAAAATTCCCAAACTTATTTATAAATTTAAAGACTGTCCTTAAAATGGTTTTTTCCGTTACTAGATATCGTAAGTCTGCTGAGCAGGATTCGACACTTAAATTTTGAATTCAAATAATAAAATAAAATGTATATTAACGATCCAAATTAATGAATAGTAGAAAAAAGTTAACAAATCTATTAATATTTTTATTTCATTTCGATACTAGACTGGTTCATGGATTTCGCTCCTACAAATACAACAGCATCAAATCCAACAACCGAATTTTGTGAAGGTTTTAATGAAGATGATGGTACTTCGAGCACTGGTAAGTAAATGATAAAAATTCAGAAGAAGGGATACTCTTCTATTGCCCGATAGAATGCAATCGACGACGTACACGGACACCCACAACACCAAAGGAGTTTGAGATTAGGGTTTCGGAGACTTAAGGAAGACATAGAGAATGGAAAGCCGGTAATATCACTCACACAAAGAACACAACGTTATAGTTGTTTCACGCCGGTTTTATGTAAGGCTGGGATATCGCTCCGGCTGAGCTAATCTTTTGCCGAAGTTTGACTCTCCCACACTTAAAAAACTACGACGAAAGTTTAATAAAAATAACAGTAAGTACAAATTACACTAATTCGATTTGCATCCATCTGGGCCCACTCTTCGAAAAGGTCCAACTTACATCCTCCAACCTTTACAGGCATTATTCAACTGAATTTCTTATTACCTTAAATATATAATGCATCCTTTGACATAGGTGCTTCGCCAGCAAACTGTCATCAACAAGACCTTGGAAAAATCAAGAACGCTCTGAAAATGGATAAAAAGGATAACTTACTGAATGAACTTCAAACTGCCAACGAAAATGTTGCTATGTGGCTTTCTTCTGATGTTGATTATCCTACTAGAGACACTGAATCAGGTACCTTTGTTATTAATGAAATATGTTTCAATCATGTCCATATAAACTTGTTCCACAAAAACCGTGTTAAAAGTTTGCCTCATCAATCTAGACTATCTATTTTCTCACTTTCCAGTTATAACACATTTTTAAAATGTCACTTTTTCTAATATTTTGGTAACCTTTTAAATAATATGTTTAAATGTTTAAAATAATTATTTGCCAAAAATATTCTTCTAACTTTAATATTACAGGATACAAGACAATGAGCAGTAATAATGCTGATAAGCCTTCGATACCATCACAAAACGAATGTAGGATGGAGAACTCAAACCAATCGTTCTCTTTAGGCGTTTTGCTGGACAACAACAGCAACTTGTATGCCACACCGAAGGTGGGATCGGAGTGTAGTGACGGTTAGATTCAACTTCTAAGCAGTTTTTTTACACTGGGTGCTTATGTGTAACCCATTTCCAAGACATTTTATGTCAAAACGGCTTATTTTTTTTTTTTTTTTTGTGGTTCGAACAAATATACGGTAATAGTGTTTAATATATACCATGAAGTGACCCGCTCTCTTAATACTTTCACTCAAAGAAGTTGGCATTTCCTGATGGTAAGCATAGCCATGGACACTCGCAATACTACATGAGTTACTAAAATATTGCGTTGCTTACCGTCTGTGGGTTATTAAGGAAATCAAAGCAGGTTGTTTTTATAATGACTTGACCGTTTCATATTTTATTCAAGGTCGCATTTCGCTATTAAAAGTACAACAAGCAGCTGTCCCCAGTGTTTCTTCCGAGTCAGAAAAGATAACAACCGCTGACAGTATTGGTGCTATTCCCAAATCGAATATTAGTTTGAAAATGTCAAAAACGCCAAATTCAGGTACCTTAGCATAAGTACTGATTAACCCTTTTAATAAAATTTTCTCTGTTTCATGGTAGATTAGTCAAAATATTTCGATATTTTTAAGTTTTAGGAAAAAATATGAAATGGCAGAACGGTTATCTAGTGGAAAGCAATCGTCGGTACCAAAAGCCAATTTAGGTTCAAAAGGATTTGCATGTATGATGGAATAACTATACTTATGAATCCTTGGATGCGACTAAATCGTGATGTTAGGTTTTGCTCTCTGATTGATACACTTAGGGATACTGTCATTGAGCTCAATTAAATAAATCTGACAAGGTGTTCAATGTGTGTCACATTGACAGACAGTGTTCCTTGTCACTATGGCAAACTTTTTAATACTTTAAGGTAGGGTATGATAACATCAGTCATCAGATGAACTATCCTCGTTTCAATCATTCCTGCTATCTGCTGCATTGTCAACTTTTTTTCCTATCTGGAGTTTTTTCCTCACTTTGGCGAAAAGCTTATGTGCGTCTTCGTCCCAAAATATCTAACCCTACTTTTCCAGTCTCTTTTCGCTAAATTCTTTCCTGACATTCCTATCCAATGTGCAGGAGGTTTGTGTACATAAGCAGTTTGGTCGTTTTATTTCCTGCAACAACCTCATGAGACCTCTACAATCCGGAATTAGGCCAGACTAAAGCATTCCTTCTCTCTTTAAAATTGCAGGACACAAGACAATGAGTAGTAATAATGCCGATAAATCTTCGATATCATCACAGAACGAATGTAAGATGGAGAACTCAAACCAATCGTTCTCTTTAGGCGTTTTGCGGGACAACAACAGTAACCCATGTGCCACTCCGATTCCACCAAATCTGGAATCGGAGTCCAGTGACGGTAAGATTCAACTGCTAAGAAGAGTTACATTACATTTTACATCTGTGGGCCATTTCCGCAGCTTTTTTTAATAATTGCTTTAAAATGTTACCCCATTTCATTTCTAATTGAATTTTGGTGGTTTGAACGCGTAAAAAAGTAGTGTCAAACATGACGTGCTGACAATTTTTAACCGAACACCCTTAAATACTAGCTTATGCGTCTGTGAGTTATTAGGGAATATAATTATCAAAAGTAAGTTGTATATCTAATTACTTTTAAATTGCATGTCTTTATTCAAGGTCACATTTCGCTATTAAAAGTACAACAAGCAGCTGCCGTCTGTGTTTCCTATGAGGCTGAAAAGATAACAACCGCGGAGGAAATTGGTGCTCTTCTCAAATCGAACATTAGTTTGAAAATATCACAAACGCCAAATTCAGGTACCTTACCATAAGTACTGATTAGCTCTTATACATAAGTATTTACGCACATTATTAATATTAACGCACAAACTATTCCTTGTCACTGTGGCATACTTTTTGAGACGTTCAGGTGGGGTATGATAACATCAGTCTTCAGACGACTTTCACTCTCCTTGTTTCAATCTTTCCTCCTATCTGCTGCATGCATTGTCAACTTTTCTTTCCTCTCTGGAGTGTTGCCTTCACTTTGACGAAAAGCTTACGTACGTCTTCGTCCTAAAATATCTAATCCTACTCTTCCAGTCTCCTTCGGTCAATTTCTTTCCTGAAATTCCTAACCAAAGTGCAGGAGGTTTGTGTTTATAAACATTTTGCTCGCTTTTTTCCTGCACCTCTTGAGACCTCTACTATGCGAATTTGGGCCAGACTAAAGCACACCTACTCTCTTTAATATTACAGGATTCAATACAATGAGTAGTAGTAATGCCGATAAACCTTCGATACCATCACAGAACAAATGTAAGATGGAGAACTCAAACCAATCGTTCTCTTTAGGCGTTTTGCGGGACAACAACACTAACTTGTGTGCCACACCGAAGCAGGAATCGGAATGTAGTGACGGTAAGATTAAACTTTGGGTACGACAACAATTTAAATGTATGTATCCATAATGTTTAAGAGATTTTCTGGCAAGCGATCTGCCAAATTACCAGATAGTAAGAAATCGGCGCCGTCCAAGGAACACTAAAGAAGTTACTACAAGTGCGTTGTCGTCTTTCTGCGGTTTGTTAAGGATTTAAAGTTCTAGAAGCGAAGACGCTCGCGCTCGTCTTCAGTTTGCGCGCAGACGCACGTCGCCAGGACGAGGATCCTCTGCCGCACCAAATTAGTGCGTGGCAGAATAAGCTCCGGCGAGATTTCATGGTAGAGTGGAAGCAACGACTGCCACAACCGAGGGCCGGGCACGCTGTTATAGCAGCGGTAAGACCCCTCTTTGAGCAGTGGCTTGAGAGATGCCACGGCGTCCGGCGTCCGCCTGACGCAGGTGCTTACCGGGCACGGCAGCTTCGGTAGGTTCCTGTTTCGGATTCAGCGGAAGGAAATACCCGAGTGTCGTCATTGTGAGGACCTCCTAGGGGATAGGGTGGAGTATACTGTGGCGGTATTGTGTTTAAAATTTGGGCGTGTTTAAAATGACTCTAATATCATATAAATATAATGGCCCTCACCGGGACTATATATTTATTCAATTTCCAATGATATCATATTTTAAAAATGTCACTATTGTCTGGTCTTTTTGTAACCTAAACAAACTAACGCGACGTTTTGAGACAATTCTTTACCAAAATTATTTTTCTACTTTAAATATTTCAGGCAACAACACAATGAGTAGTTATAATGCTGATAAGCCTTCGATACCATCACAGAACGAATGTAAGATGGAGAACTCAAACCAATCGTTCTCTTTAGGCGTTTTGCCGGACAACAACAGTAACTTGTGTGCCACACCAAAGCTGGAACCGGAGCTGCATTCCGGTTCCGACGGTACGATTGAACTAAACTTCTAAGTAGATTTTTTATATCTGAAACGGCTTCTCAATTTTATCAAACTAAATTTTTATTCTTATTATGGTAATAATTTTTTATGTGATAGTTGGGCAAATAATATCATCAGCCTATATAAGTCAGCAAGAGCGCCGATGGATTACCTGATAATAAGCAATCGAAAACCGTTGATAATCGCAATATTAAGCGAGTTACTACAATTGCATTGCCGACCTTCTGTGGGTTTAAGGGAAACCAAAGAAAGTCGTTATATTATGTAGTTACTTTTAAATTAAATATTTTAATTGAAGGTCGCATTTCGCAATTAAAAGTACAACAAACAGCCGTCCCCTGTGTTTCCCCCGAGCCAGACAAGATAACAACCGCGGAAAGTATTGGTGCTATTCCCAAATCTAACATTAGTTTGAAAATATCACAAACGCAAAATCCAGGTATATTAATTTAATATTCATCAAGTTTTCTCAGATTTCATAGTAAATTAGACAAACGAATAAAAAACAAATAAAATGGGCTAATAGCAAAACGAGCGAAGTACTAAAGCGTTATCTGGTGGAAAGCAATAATCGTTATCAACGGGCATTTGAGATACAAAAGGATATCTATCCTCTTCCTCCTACACCCCAGCCGCCGCAGTACGCAATTCAGTCAGTCCGGCGTCAGGGAATCAGAGATGATCTCCGGCCACTCAATTCAATCAGGCGTTCAATTTGTATCATATTAACGCACAAAGTGTTCTTACTCACTTTAGTAATCATTTTGAGGCTGAGAGCTGGCTCAAACCAAATCTCTTGTCCACCTCGTACCCTCCTTCTGGTTTCGTTCTTATAGGGATTGCTGCTTGGGAAAATAGGGGTTGGCGTTTCAACATACCTTAAGCTAACTTGTGTACTCTTCACAAAATTTTCAGCCCTTCTCCCTCCTCAATCATTTTTGTCAAATTTCTATCCTGACATTCCTACCAAAAGTGCCGTAGGTTTGTGCTCATGAACATTTGTTCGTTTTATTTACGGCACCAACCACATCAGACATCTCCAATCCGGATTTATGCCAGACTAAAGCACTTCTTTAATATTACAGGACACAAGACAATGAGTAGTAGTAATGCCGATAAACCTTCGATACCATCACAGAACGAATGTAAGATGGAGAACTCAAACCAATCGTTCTCTTTAGGCGTTTTGCGGGACAACAACAGTAACTTGTGTGCCACACCGAAGATGGAATCAGAGTGGAGTGACGGTAAGATTGAACTGCTAAGTAGTGTTTTTCCTTAGGTATTATAGGAGGCCCATTTCAACAGTGGTTTGGACGTTGTAACATAAATAGTGTTAAACATGACGAGTTGGCATTTTTAAACTAACTACCCTAATACTAGCTCATGCGTTTATGGGCTATTAAGGCAATCGAAGCAAGGCTGTTTATCAAATTACTTTTAAATTTCACATTTTATTCAAGGTCGCATTTCGCTATTCAACGTACAACAAGCAGCTGCCCTCTGTGTTTCCCATGAGGCAGAAAAGATAACAACCGGGGAAAATGTTGGTGCTATTCCAAAATCAAACATTAGTTTGAAAATATCACAAATGGAAAATTCAGGTACTTAGCATTTTCAGATTCTTCTTCTGGATTTTCCTCTGACAAAAAAAGGTACTTTAGCATAAGTATTGAGTAACCATTTAATTTTTAATCACAATTAAATTTTCTCAGTTCAGGAGGCTTGTATTCATAAGCAGTTCACCAGTTTTATTTCCTGCAACAACCTCATGAGACCACTACAATCCGGATTTAGGCCAGACCAAACACTTCTTCTTCTTTAATATTACAGGATACAAGACAATGAGTAGTATTAATGCTGATAAGCCTTCGATACCATCACAGAATGAATGTAAGATGGAGAACTCAAACCAATCGTTCTCTTTAGGAGTTTTGCGGGACAACGACAGTAACCCATGTGCCACACCGAAGCTGGAATCAGAGTGCAGTGACGGTAAGAGTATATATGGCACATTTTTTTATCAACCGTTTTAAAATTTTCCCAAATTTTTAGTTTATTTTTTTGGCGGTTCAAGAACTTGCTAAAAATTGTGTTCAATAGACCATGATATTTGGACATGAACCGTCAGAGATTTTAGACCGGCTCTCTGAACACTATCTTAAGCGTAGAAAGGAAAGCTAACACTTTCACACCTAGTTCACAAAAAATCCAACAAAATATTAAATCAACTTGAGTTCGAACGCAGGTCACAATTTTATTTGGTATTTTTTTTTATGTTTTCATTTAAGGTCGAGTTTCGCTATTAAACGTACAACAAGCAGCTGCCCTCTGTATTTCCCCTGAAGCAGAAAAGAAAACAACCGCGGAGAGTATTGGTGCTATCCCCAAAACGAACATTAGTCTGAAAATATCACACACGCCAAATTCAGGTACCTTAGCATAAGTATTGATTAAGCCTTACTATGAAATTCCGGAGGCCCAATCCTTACCCTCCCCCAATCCCTCCTAAATCCCTAAATCTCCAAATCCCTAATCCCTAAAAGGTCGGCAACGCACTCGTAACTCCTCCGTTGCGAGTGTCCATGGGCGGCGCTGATTGCTTACCATCAGGTAATCCGTCTGCTCGTATGCCGACCTATTAAATAAAAATAAAAAAATTACTCAGGACTTTTGAGTTATTTAAAAAATATTTGGGATAGCAGCGAAACAAGCAAAGCGCCGAAGCGTTATTTGATGGTTGGGGTAAAATGATTTCACTTGCATAACCTTTTGTAATTTAGTGGTCATATTAAACGATTACTTGTCTACTATATTAAACCTATTTCTATATATATTTATTGTTGTTTCAGTTGTTACAATTTCAAGTACAAGCCCACAGCCAAGCAATGAACAGAACCATTCCACTGTAAATGTAAGCCATGCAGAAACGGTGCCAACTCGAAGAATACCAGAATTATCTGAATCGGAATGCTTATCGGAAATATTGCAGAACACCACCAATTTTGAGATTATGGAAGGTATATATACGAGTATGTTTCGTAATAAAATTGTGTTTTGAAGAAAAGGACTCATATTATCAAGGAATTTATAGAAATATATAAATTGAAACTGTTCGTTTCACCATTCTAAACCTTCTTAGTCGTGTCATAGGATATGTAGGTCATATGTAAAATATGATCAACACAGTTATAATAAAAATACTACGTCTTACTTTGAGGTTTCGCCACTGTATAGGCAGTTTTTTACCAAGTCAGATTTTTTATAGTTTATAAAAATAGGAAGGACAAGAATTATTTTTTGACATGCACGGTACCTACATACATCTTTTTTCAACTTCCAAATAGCAATAGGAGCTGAAAATGAAAAGGCACCAAGCAGTGCCACCATAGCCGATACTCAGGATATCGTGTTAAGTAAAGAGAATGCAGCGGAAGAAAGAGATGCGTTAGAGGAGCTCCCTGCAGAAGACCAGTCAACCCGTGAGTGGCCTCAAGTTCAGTCGCAGTCGAATAACACAAATGAAAAATCTTCTACAACAGTAACTGAGTTGTCTTCTAAGTACAAAAGTGACTTGAGTGAGGCCAATTGTGAAAGTACAGGTAAGTTTTTTTTATTCGTTAATGAAGTTTTTCACTTATTTTTAGAAGCATAGTCTATTGATTGATTGGCCGATCTAGAACCCAATGGGGAAGACTTATGTTCAGCAGTGGGCTGGTGGGTTGGTGATTGATGTTGAACATCCGCATTATTAGCTGGAAGACTTACACTTCCGAACAAGAGCCTCCTCATTAGTCCTCTACATCCGACGGCAAGTCGCCACGTGTGAGTTGTCTCATCTTCGTGGTGACTATACCTGGTGATGATGTTGATTATAAGCTTCTCAGAGAAAAACTTGAATTATATACACTACTACTTAAAGCCTTATTTGTTTAGCCACATACAAAAAAACATAATATATTTGCCTTGCTACAGAAAGCCCGAACTGGAGCGATAGAAATGATTTTTCCAGAAGTTTTAGTCTTAGTAATGAAAGCGGTCGTCGTCAAAACATTTGTCCAGAATGTCATCGTTACAATAGATTTCCTAGCAGTCGGTATAAAAGTGAGTATAAAAAAATTATATACTTTTGAATGTATTCGAACTAGGGGAAGTCAGTGTTCGGCTATGTACAAAGTACATTTTTAGAAAATGTAATTATTATTATTGTCATGTGGAAAAATAATAAATGGAAAATAACAGCAAATTTAATAATCAAAAAGTCCCAATATATCTACGGGATTTGCAACTTATTGCGTCTTAAAATAGAATTGAATATAAAACGTTTTATGAGCTATTAATAAAAGTATCAAGATGGCTAAGGAATTAAACGCAATAAATACTATTTTTAGAAGCCCTATTGTGTGACATTCCGAATAAAGAATAAGTATATAGGTACTAATCGGTATCTACTGTTCTTCCATCTTTATTCGAGTTATTTCAGACAATTTTGTTGATATATTTTGCTTTTTGTAAATGTGATCGATATGACACGTCTACGACATTCGGCGTTCTGATTGTTCAGTTCCAAAATAACCAATCAGTGAGCTAAACACGGCAAAGTTTCGATCACATTCGCATAAAACCACTTCAAAGCAATTGTCAAAAACAACAATAGAATTGTGGATAGCAAGAAAGATATTCTCGTATTATTCTCATATATTTAAAACATCCCTATTCAGTGCTAAATCCCTTTATGTGCTGGCGACGTCACATCTCAATTCGTCGAATTTGCCGGCGGCGTTGGAACCACGTTTGGAAGAAGACTGCTGAACGATGGGCCACATGGTCCGACAGGTCTACAGTCCGATTTAAAAAATGTAAGCGTTATTTTACTTTGTACATATACGCAATATACAGTTTTTTAACAATTCGCATATAGAACGTCAGCGTACTAAGCTGTACCGGCGCAAAACATTCCGCACGTGCTTCAAAGAGACTTTAGACCACCACTTATGAGACGCGAGCGACTGAGGGTTGCGAGCCAAGAGCGTAAATGTACCGCGGCCTAGAGCGGTAAAGAGAACGGGATGGTTTCTAGTCTGTATGACTATCCTCAACTCCAGAGCTCCATCTCATCCTACTCAGGGCGGAATATGTCATGTGTTAATTTTCGTCTCTTAAAAAAAGGATCGTCAATTAACTACTTTTTAACCGACTTCCGAAAAAAGAAGTGGTTCCTCTATTCAACTATACACATATTGTTACACCTGTTACGATTATAATGTTTAATTTTAATTTAGAATGGATAAATATTATTCGGTAATTTTATTTGCAAAGAAGATGAGTTGAAATTTTTAATAACCTTAAACTAACATTTAAATCTTAGCAATTGTATTACATTTTGTTTTTCAGTCCGCGTCAATCCACATTTTAAACGTGCAGTAATATGGGAAGATGCAGATGTACAAACCTATACACCGGTTTATAGTGAAACAGGTATATCAAAGTATTTCTATTTTAAGAAGACGAATTAAGTTATAAGCGTGGTGATGTTAGCTTTGGCTTAAAATTATTTTAGTGAAAGTTCCGTACTTCTTGTTTATTGATTAGTTTTACTTTCTCGGGTGAAATAGGTAGTTATCGTTTGCTACGAATGAATAACACCCGGTTTCTGAAAGGCTTGTTAACGCTAAAATTAACTAATCTCCTGTTAAATCTCTTGTCAATTCATCTAATTGGTTGTTGATAATTCAGTCAACCAATCAGATGACTTGACAAGAGATTAAATTGATTTTAACATAGATCGGCCTTTCGGAAACCGGGTGTAAGTCTTCAAAAGTGTGATAAATAGTGACTAACAACGTACGTTGTAAAAGGCGACTAAGAAAAAGAAACATCAAAAACAAATGCTGACAATATCACACATACATATCTTTGAACACTTATTTGAATTAATGTGTCCCTAATAAATCGTCTTTGCTAAGGACTATAGTACAGCTAATAAAGGGCCTATTTCCCAGCAGATATGTGTAAACCCATAAGTTAAGTACTTTCCCTCATAAATCGTCTCAACTATTTCCTTCACGCACCAGACACATTTTTGCTTTTAGGTACAGACAGTGTCCTTAAAGAGCTGAGGTCGGCAGCTATCGGGACCGCGTTCAATATGGGATCCTGGCCGAATATCAGCCTTAATGAGTCTAGTAAGCTATATATAATTTTCTATTTTTAACGAATATTTGCTATTTTTTTTCATATTTTAAAATATCTACGAGCAAGCGATATATTTTTTTGATAAACTAATTCAATTTAAATCTATTGGTGAAGTAACTTTGTTTTCTTTATTTTACAGCGTATAGTTGTTTAAATCATAGACCAAATATCAAGCATTTAAATCAAGGCCCCTCTTCCTACCCATTCTTATGTCAACCACGTAAGTTTTTTTTGTTTTTTATATTGAATTATTTAAAATAAATTAACAATTTACACATTTGTCGTAGTAAGAGTACGGCTCGCTCACGTTTGTTTTAAACTCCACCGCAGCTTAGCCCGCGTGGTGTATAAAAGTACCCGATGTGTTCATCTATATTATCACCTATTTACATGCCAAATTTCAGGCAAGTCGGTTCAGCCGTTTTTAATCCCACAAAGTTTCACATTATAAATGTGTAAATATTACTAAGTAGGAATTCGTCGAATACTCGTATACATAAATCGAAAATATCTGGACAGCATATTCTTTTGACAAGTAACTTATTAGAAAACTAGCTCCTCCCACGCGGTTTCACCCGCTGCTCGGCTCCATTTGATCTTAGCGTGATGTTTTATAGCCTATAACACTCAGGAACATTGTAGCTTTCTATCAGTAAAAGAATTTTGGAAATCCGACCAGCGTAGCGGTTCCAAAGATTACCCCCTACATACAAACTTACAAATTTTACCTCTATACCTATAATAATAAGTATAGATAATAAAATGTATACATTACAGTACCTGTACCAGTAAGGCCGATTGAGATTGAACCATCTCACGCACAGCATCGACCTTGTTATCGTGATAATTGCAACAGTGCCACTAGCAACATCAATGAATACTCTTGGAGTACTAAAAAAATTGACTTCTGCAAAAGTTGTCAGTACGAAGGTTTGTTTGTATTATTATTTATAAGGAGGAACCGAGCGTAGAGATAACCTGTTAATAAATGATCAACTATATTCGGGGACGTTTACCCTACCTACCCTACCTACCCTGCCTACCCTACCTGCCCTACCTACCCTACCTGCCCTACCTACCCTACCTACCCTACCTACCCTACCTGCCCTACCTACCCTACCTACCCTACCTACCCTACCTACCCTACCTACCCTACCTACCCTACCTACCCTACCTACCCTACCTACCCTACCTACCCTACCTACCCTACCTACCCTACCTACCCTACCTACCCTAACTGCCCTACCTACCCTACCTGCCCTACCTACCCTACCTACCCTACCTACCCTACCTACCCTACCTGCCCTACCTACCCTACCTACCCTACCTACCCTACCTGCCCTACCTACCCTACCTACCCTACCTACCCTACCTACCCTACCTACCCTACCTGCCCTACCTACCCTACCTAACCTACCTACCCTACCTACCCTACCTACCCTACCTACCCTACCTACCCTACCTACCCTACCTACCCTACCTACCCTACCTACCCTACCTACCCTACCTACCCTCCCTACCCTACCTATCCTACCCACCATACCTACCCTACCTACACCTACGCTACCTACCCTACCTAACCTACCTACCCTACCTACCCTACGTACCCTACGTACCCTACCTACCCTACTTACCTACCCTACCTACCTTACCTACCCTACCTACCCTACCTACCCTACCTACCCTACCTACCCTAACTAGCTTGTCATTTCTATATTACAGATATCAATAAAATGTCGGTAAATGTGGGTCGATCGACAAGTTTCACGCAAATGAACGAAGTTAGTTTATCTGATCAAGGCACAGAAACATGCGACTTACCTTACTTCGTAAACGATAAGGTCACGAGCAACTTTATGAGGACCAACCTATATGAAATGTCTAAAGGAGTATCAAAGGATGCGTTCACACAGAAGATAATCATGTGTCATGCAGGTATGTATGACATATGTATTATTTATTTACTTTTTAAATGTTCGTACGCCTTGTAAGCTCAATAAGTATGATACCCAAAAAGTTTTAAGTGCTGGCAGTAATGGTAATAATCAATTGTAATTAATTAAAAAATACCGAGCTTCAAAAATGTTGGCTATAATGACGATGTAGTCTTTGAGCAGAGCAGCTACAAGAACTACTGTTGCGGGTCACAAATTGATGTCCTAGAAGTAAATGAAATTTGGAAAAAAGTAAAAAGCGTTATTTTTTTTTATAAACGTTTTCAGAAACGGATGTCTCGTTCCTGCCAATGTGCAATGGCAGTTCGACGGGAACGATCACTTCTACCTGTAATATAACCTATTACAAGCCATGCACTGGATCAGGTAATATTATTAATAAGCATATTATTAGGTATGCGTGGGGTACACAAGTCTTACAAACATTAAACAACAAAATTTAAACACACGTACAGTGCCGGCGTAAGGGCCACTGACACCCCTGGCAAAAATACTGTGACGCTCACTTGCGGGAAGCAATATCAAGCGTTAGATTTTTACTGATCCCAAGTAAAATTTAAAAAATATCTCATTAAAAAATATGCATATGCACAGAGCGTAGAGCACAATTCTGAGGGTTTGCACCAGGAGAGGCATGAGACTCCAACTTCAGACCTGGGCCAGAATTTTATATTTTACACTTTTGTTTTTCAGAAATAAAACAACTTAATGAGAACCCAATTCAGGAATCAGCTCATCCCGTTTTGCGAACCTTACAATCGCAAGCTATTAGTGCCAGACAAATTAATGACAGTAAGTTTTAATCGACTTAAATCATTGATTAATAATACTAAGATTTCTGTTTCGCGATCACTAGATGGCGTTGTTTAATAATACTGAACAATTGATTCATACGTTGTGGTTATAAATTTTTTTTGTATTAGCTCGATGTATAACAGTCTCTTGTATAAGAATAGTAATAACTAGCTTTATTCAATTGCGCAGCATAATACAAGAAAAAAACATGTATATTAAGATTTTAATATATAATATATGTAATTATTTTACATTAATTTCTTACACTGACCATAAGCTTTAAGTTTTAATAGATACATAATATGATAGATAAAAGATACTAATCTACTAATATAGTTTCAGAGATTGACACTCAAATGACACCAAACTCGTCCGTTGAAAAAATGACTACAGGGATATCAGCTCTAAGACTAGAGTTATCAGAAAAAACTACAAGTTTTGCAAACAAAGGTACTTCATTATTTTAAATAAAAAGTCTACGCTACGTTTAATTAAAAAGTAGGCAAACGAATCTGTGTTGTGACCATTATCAATGTTGTGATTGCCTGGTAACAAATATAAAATTAGTATATTAGTGGTTGAACATATTGCGGATGTAAACGTAATGATGATGAGCAGGAGAAGTACCTAGAAGTGGTTTTTAGTCAATAAGAGTCTAACGTTGACGATCTCCGGCTACCGTAAGCGCGGGTCGAGCAAGGGTAGCTGCTAGACGAGAACCAGATCCAAGCGTATGGCTAGCCAGCCGAGCTATTGTTGGGCTCCACAGATAGGGCCCAAGAGAACTTATGGTAACATACCGCAAGGGGCAAGATACTGCAGCCTCGGCGTGGAACAGGAGACGGAACGGGGTGGTGTACAGTCAGTAAAAGGAGACACCCCTCCTGCCTCACTCTGAGCGAGAGAACACGTTTGAAGATACTCCCATCCCTCTCACCTCCTTGGAAAAAAACATGGCATTGGCAATGTGTAGCATAATTTTTATTTTTATTACTTTTCAGATATATTGATTTTGAATGAAGAGAACGAATCGGTGAACGAACAGAAGCCCGAGTTATCATCACAGACCGACGAGATTAAACGGGAATCTGTAACAGGTAAACTATACACAGAGAATATCAGTAACCTATATAAACTATTTACTTTATATATACAGAATTTTAGATGATACAATAGTTTAAAAACTTGGTACTGCTTATACTAATGGAAAAATAAGTTCGAAGACTGAAAAAAACAGGCAGACAGTCTGTTTCAAGTCCTTACCACCACCTTGTCCGCCCAGAACCAGACCCGAGCGTACGGCGCGTAGCGTTCCGCGCGCGCCTCAAAGAGCCAATAGACCACCACAGACGGGGCCCTATAGGGCTGATGTTCAGCCAGGGTTGCGGGGTAAGCGCAATGAGGCATCGCGACCTCGGCCCAGAGCAGGAGAAGGAACAGGGGGGTTTTTAGTCAGTAAGAGTCTGACACTCCCTCCCGCCCGGCCCTGGGCGGGAGAAGTCATTTGATGATTTTCCCCTCACAAAAAAAACCACATAGGTACTTCGATATATGTAATTATGAAGAATTTATCGTTACTGACAAAAGTTTCTTCTTTACAGAAACCGAAACTCAAATGACTCCTGGACCTTCAACTGTCTTAGTTTCAACGGGTGTCACACCTGGACCATCCACGTTCCAAGGTAAAAAACTAAAGTTAATATTGTGTTTTCAGCCTCATTTGTTTGTTCTATCCTTTCACGGCACCACAGGGTCCCGGACCTTTGGAAGGCGTACGAGGAGCCGAAGCCAACTCGCAGAGGCCCGTTGAACAATTTTAATCTAAATGTGATGGGACATCAGCCGGCAATTATCCCTGTATGCACTATATAAGTGCACCCAAGGACAATCCCCGGTTGATCCAAGACTATTGTGAAATGTGGTAAAAATTGATAGGGTTATGAATATGGGTTGCTATGGACTGGTGGATATGATATCTATGGAAATACTATGGCCCCTGCCCCTGACCAATATTGATACATACGGATAAACATCAGCCTCAGAATTATTAGGTACTTATATTATAAAGAACATGGAGATATTACCAAAAAATAGAGATATAAAGAAGTCGAGCTGACCAATGCTTCAGAAGCATGGGTTTCACATACCACACAACACTTTCGAAACCAAAAATTATAATTATTATAAATTGTCTCGTTTTTGCAGTACATCCTACATTGAATGATTCTGTAAAAGTGAGTTATGCAGTCCAGACAGCATCTATACATCCGATGAACCTTGCTTCGAGAGGTATATTAACTTATACAATTATTGTTACCTAATACAAGTGGAGATCATAAAAGATCATGTACTAAGTATAAACACTGATTTGAGACAATAATTTTGTACTGAAAGGGAAGTTGTTCTTACCTTAAAGATTCTTCGTCGCCAATCAATGGACCAATCATCACAAATTATTAACAACACGGTTGGTGTAGGTTGCAACCCTGATCTGCTCTACCTACAGTTACTGCAGTAGCTAAAATATCCCAGAAACCAAGTCAACTACTATTTTCAAGAAGTTCAAGCATTTGTTTGTAACTAGCGCCCCTCCCCTCCCGCTTCTCAGGGGTCCCACTATCTCGCTATCAAAGATGAAAGGCTCACTTTTTCCTAATCTTCCCCTCTACTTTTCTAATATTTTCTTTGATAAGAATCTTCTCCTGACAATAACAAACACAACAAAAAAAGAATTAGCAAAATTGGTCCAGGCGTTGTTGAGTTATGCACTTACCAACACATTTTACGATCAATTTTTATATATAAGAAGAAGATAATATGTCCTTATTTTACAGCAACTAAAGTTACGTCAACACGAATACCGCTGCCTGCATCAGATACACCGAGTACAGGTAATACACATTAGAGATTATATTTAAAAAAATATATCATTAGAATTTGTCAATCATCATCCCTTAACCATCCTAGTAATAATAGTAAATCCTAAATCACAGATAAAAAAGTTAATTGTCTCTCACTCAAATTACTTACATAAGTAGTGTAGTATGGCGTATCCATGTGGATAAAAAACCAAAAACCAACAAATTAAAAAAAACATCCTAGGAGTGAGAAAAGATCTTTCTAATGTCAAAAACGAGGACCGTTCATCATTGCTTAATGTGAATTGGTGATTTCTGGTGGGTCTCAATTTTGTCACGATAGTTTCCTTCAGCGAATGTCAGTGGTGTACATATAATAAAAAAAAAATTACTTGAAAAAGTCACATCGCCTTAATCTGTTGACCCCACTACATTCAATAATCAGTTCAAAATATCTTGAAGAACACGTAAAATTATTACAGCACATATATCCAAAAAAAATCCGATTTGTTCATATAATAACCAAACATTGCTGGTTTTCTATAGAAACAACGTGTGACAAGCCGAATGTGGCCTGCAATGTATCATTTAGACGAAACTGTACGTGCGCACCCTTAAACGTTGCGACATGCGGTAAGATAATCACATAAAAGATTTTTTATTCTAATTTCCTCTTTACATCTGTTAAGGAGACCCTTTTAACATTAAAGCAAGACTCATTAGCATATTTGTAATAAGAATTTAAGCTACGGTTCCATTGACAGACAAAAAGCGTCTCTTACAGAAGTGAGAATAAAATGTAAATATTCCAAACTTCCAAACTAATATTATAAATGCGAAAGTAACTCTGTCCGTTTTTTCTTCACGCCTAAACTACTGAACCGATTTCTGTGAAATTTGGTACAGACATAGTTTGGAACTTGAGAAAGGCTATAGGAGTTTTTATACCAAAAATCTGCAGAAAGTCACTATTCCACGCGTACGGAGTCGCGAGCAAAAGCTAGTACGAATATAATTGGATTCAACAGCTTACTCACATGACTTTTTTTGTTTCCCACATTGTTGAACGTATGAACCCCTAGCGTTGTTTGAAACTAGTCGAGTTACCCACCCAACAGGTACGTCATCGATGACGTACAAATGTAGGACTTGATAAATATTGTTTTGTTTGTATAGGAAAATATGTCCTAAATTTTTTGTTTTTTATTGGGAAAGATCCTAAAAATGCCTCTACCGCTTAGCTTTAGATGATGTTTCGGAGTTTCAGACTATTTTACTAATTAAGATCCATACCGTTCTTCAAGCAACCCCGGCTGACGACTGCATAGCTAAGGAAACATTTTTAAAGACATTATTCAGAATAATTTTTGGATCGTGAAATATCGTGTAACAGCAATATCATAGCTGTATTTTAAATTATATTTTAAAATTAAAACCTCTCGTCCCATTTAAAACATCCGCTATTGCCTCACAGTATAACCCAGCCTTAACGTATTAAGTATTATGATAAGATAATGTCTGCTCCACTTTTGTATTTGTTTTTTAACTTACTTTTTTTATTTTAGCGTAAAATAATGCCATTTTAATTTGTTTAAAAAGGCTTTTTTTATTTTGCTTCGTCAACAGGCACAGATGTAACGTTTGCAGATTTGTATAGTGGTAGAGAAACATCGGGAGCGGCAGTGAATTCTTATTATGAAACAGGTAGTGTGTAGTATATAGAATATTAATGTTATATATCGTCTTTGTTCTAACATAGTGATTTTAAAATCAAATCCTAATTCTGTACCAATAAAGGTCCAGGCTGGAAACAATTTTATGATTGTGGAAAATTTGGCTAGAGGAAGTTGTGTTAAATTAAGTTGTAAGTTAGGCAACCAAGGAAGGTATTGAACCTTTCCTCCTATACACTTGTAATCCCTTAAGTTCTCATCTGGGGTTCTCATTTTACCTGGCTACTATTCACAATCTCCATTAATGACCTATTTACAAATCAAACGCCATGTCAAACTAACAATTGTGAAAGTTATCTACATGTAACATTAACCATGCAGATTATTTAACAGAATTTTTACTAAACAACCTGATCAAGAAGGCCCTCATGGGAAAAACGGCGCATCAGTTGCAGCTTGATGGATTGGAACCGACCAGTAAGTAATCTTTGAAACTTTAAATACGTTATTCTTTACTTCCAAAGGCGGTTACACATAATTGATATATTTAACACTGGACTTTGCAGTCTCAATCACAGAGAATGTTTGCGCTATATATATTAAGAATTCAAACTCTACAGCCAGTTTCGGGTGGTTGCAATTGCGACAATCAAATTGCAACATCAAGTAAAGAAAAAGTTTTCCTAATATGAGACACAAAACAATACATAAAAATGGAAAAGTAGTATATGTGATATTCTACATTGTTATCAACCTCTGTGCCTATTTCCACCAATTTAGTAGTTTTAGTAAAAAAGTTTCATCCATCCATAATTATCATCTTTCGTCCGTGATATTAGTAGAATAATGTTAATTGTTTATTTATTTATTTCTAGAAAACCGACCACTGATTTACGTAACAACCAGCACCAGTACTCACGTGGGTTTAGAAACGAAATCCATAGGACCAACAATGTCAGAGATCACCGAACTCATAGGCCTTTGCAAGACAGAAACTGGCATACAGTATATCGAAGATAGGATCGAAAATGACGCAATTCTGGATGGAAGTGAAAAATCGGAAGATGCACCAAGTATGTCTTCCTATTATCTCATCATCATTATCATCATCAACCCGTTTCCGTCCACTGCCTCTCCAAGTGTGCGCCACTAAGCTCGATGTTCGGTTCTTCTCATCCAACCACTGCCAGCCATCTTAGTCAGTTCATCTAGTCGGAAAACCCTATACAACATTTGCCCAGACTCAGTCTCCACTCCATGACACATCTACTTCAACAGTTATCGGTTCCACTTAACCTCTTCAATCCTTTGTGCTATGTCGACAACTTTAGTTCTCTCTCGGATCACCTCATTTCGAATTCGATCCTTTAGAGATATCGGATCTCTTTTTCGACACTCACTCAATTCTTCAATCACTTTTCAAAGTATATTATTGAGACCCGTGTTATAAGGGTCGAGCCGATTCATTACTACACGATCAAACACTTGCCTATAACTCACACATGCCTATAACTCTGCGATCCTGACCTTTAAAAGGACAAAGGTCAGGATACTCCCATCGGGAATAATTGATCAATGACAGTGTAATTACTTTCCCTGGACATATCATTCTTACTTTACCAGTTTTTGCAAACATTCCGAATGATGTATGGGTGCAAATGATTATTAGGTTAAGAGTTACTATTATGTAGAATCATGTATATCAATCAGCAAAAAAATATACTAGACATCATATCAATGAATAATACCTATCAAACAAGAAGTGGCTGATTCTATAAGCACGTTAAAGAAAAGACGAACCATTTAGAATACATGCATTTCTATCTTATTGAAAAAAGGAAAACACCAATTACACAGTTATTGCAGTGGTTAGCAACCATTTTCCGCGCATCGCATCGTGGTTTCGACTTTTTTGATCCACAAATTGCTATTTCAAGTCTGGCAGTGATATGTTTGTTAAATTATTTATGTATTTGTAAATGCACCCAAAACGCAGGCGAGAATCCATCTACCCTATCTACAAATCTATTTTTTTATGTAATACCTGTCTATCTATCTCTGGGCCTCCGGTAACACAACGCTGTGGTTGTTTCACGCCGGTCTTCTGTGAGGCCATGGTATCACTCCGATCGAACCGGCCCATTCGTGCAGAAGCATGGCTCTCTCACACTCTAATAATTCAGTACTGATCATCCTAATCTAAGAATAACTAACATCACCACACTCGCTTCGTTAACATTACAGTAAAACAAAAATCAAAGCTATACAAAAATCTCCAACAATATTTCAATTGCAATACAATAAAGTAATCGGGAAATAGGAGGCTGGTTCTTTTTGTGTACATTCTTGGCCAATATATTGGGCACAAAATACGTTGATAGATCGAGCAGACATGATTTATTGTGCTCCTTCATACTCAATGACATTCAATCAATATAATGGCGGACCTTAACCGCTATTATCAAGCCTTCAATGTTACGTTGACCCGCTGTTGTATTTCGTCATCATATGTTCGTTGAATGTGTGAGTGGGTACGAAACGGTAAACTTTTTGTAAGTTTCTGGTATCATTATAATCATGACCTTTTATCATAAGAAGTGTGGCAGAGCTTTGAGACGAATTGGCCGGCAAGACTGGATGGATACCGTGGCCTGGATTCCCAATTTCCGAAATCAAATCTCTGACATCCTAACATCCAAAAGTTCTGCAACACACTTGTAACTGATGTGATTCTTCGGGTGTCCATGAGCGTCGATGATTGCTTACAACCATTTCTTGTGTTTTATTGCCGCCTTTTACCATAAAGAATCTTTTTGTTGGACAATCTCTTGAACTGGGCAAGAGTGATTGTCAGACTCTTACTGGCTAAATCATCCAGTTCCTTATCCTGCTCCATGTCAATACGTTATTGCGTTCGGCCCTGGCTGAACATCAACCCTGTTAAGAAAACGACAATTTCAGACTGAAAAGACCAACCAACCACACAATAGTAGCTTTTTTTTGAGGGGAAAATAATCAAATGACTTCTCCCGCCCAGAGCCGGGCGAGAGGGAGTGTCAGACTCTTACGGACTAAAAACCCCCCTGTTCCTTGTCCTGCTCTGGGCCGAGGTCGCGGTGCCTCATTGCGCTTACCCCGCAACCCCGGCTACACAATAGTAGCTAATAGCGTAATAAATCATTATTTTCTTCCAGGTGTAAATAGCACCGGCCAAGACCCTGTGACTTCAATATACGTAATGAATCATGCGACCAATGATTTCATGACACAAACTGAATTTAATGGCGAGTATAAAAATATAAAGTTCACACTATTTCACACAGTTATTTTACGACAAACTTGGTTTCCTTAGCAACTCGTAAAATAACGGTATTAAATAAGAAGGTTACATAACTTTAACATCTTAGCTTTAAAATCGGGATGTGTTTCAGATATGACCTTAGCTTCAGGTTAATCAATACCATGATATTCGAAAGCAAAAAGAGGAAAAAATGCTTTGATTATGAATTATGGTCAATGAAAAATCTATTGTTATAAAATGAACACAAAATAATTTTTATTTTATTCTTGCAGCGCATGTAATTCGAAACAGTGTTATATCAATTATAAACACATTCTTGACAATGTACCATAAAACGTTTCTAAGTAAACATAAACCCATATGGACTGTCACTCCGACATACACGCATACATTTTTCATATCCCGTTAGGGAGGGGGAGGGATTTTGGTGATTTTTCACAGCATTTATTCCAAAAGCCCTTTACAATTGAGTGTAATGGCGTAGAAGCATTACGCTCATATGGAAAATTACAAGCTTATGTGACATTTATTTTGTACCGCTTCAGACATTTATACAAAGATTTATTGAATTTTAAAAGCCCGTTTCATGAGTAGCGAAACAAACAAACAACCGTGTTCTATAAAACCGTAATTTTGGTAGGTTTTATAGAACCATTGTATGTACCATGATATATTTGGTAGGTTAGGAATACGCTTTGATACGCTATACTTTACTTTTTACTCCTTTACTATTGTTGAAAGACACGTCTAGTTGTCTTGTAAATTATAATGAGGTATGTTTCATTGCTACAGCACTAGGACCTCACAAATCTGCCTCAATCATGACGTCATTCTGCGGCCAAGCTCAATCCATACAAGTCCCAGCAGTATCCATTTATAAAGTGGAAGCCGTATCTGCCACTGGTATGCATTTTCCCACAAAAAACTTTATATGAATTCTTTTTTTATAATACAGTTATTATTCAGAAAATTTTACTTTCTATTTCCTACAGAAAAACCTTTATTCAAGACGTACTCAACCTTAAACGCCGATACTGGTATGCACTTCTTTTTAAAAACTTCATATTAATTATAAATATGTTAATAGTCCAATAGTTGTACTAGCATTCAATTTATTATAGAGAAAATAGTATTTTATTCTTTTTCGTTTTTCATTAGAAAACCTTTCGTCTACAGAAAACCCTGAGTCCACAGAAAAACCCTCGTCCACAGAAAACCCCGCATCCGCAGATAACCCCGCGTCCACAGAAAACCCCGCGTCCACAGAAAAACCCGCGTCCATCACCTCACGTTTGAGTGCAGATGCAGATATTCAAATTGACACAAACCTAAGTAAGTCACAACCAAAGTTATTTCCAAGTAAGGTACAGTAAAAATTATTAAAGCAAGAAAATATTAATAGAATGAAATCGTCTGAAAGGGGAAAAAGGGAAAAGACCCACCCCCCTTTTTTTTCGCGTATCTTTTTCCTTTTCGTATGCGTTTCATTCTACGACATTTTTTTTTTGTTTAAATCTGCTCTACACTTTAACTTACATAAGAGTTAATGTAAAAAAGTGTTCTTTAATTTTTTACTACTCACAGAAAACCTGCCGTCTACAGAAAAGCCTGCGTCAACGTTAAACCCAGCGGCGGCCTCCTCAAATTTGAGCTCAGATATTCAAACTAATACTGACACAAATCTAAGTGAGTTACAATCAAATAAATTAAGTAATCATACATTTTCATTTTTTAACAAAAGCCTAGCAAGCAATCGCTCGATATTTCTAAGCACTTTTAGTTTCTGTGTTACGGTATACATAATATGTAGTATAGCTAATATGGACTTGAATTCAAACACACTATGTTTCCCTTAAGTTAGAACCCTGCGTGCACTACCATCTTATATTTGTAATATATATTTTTATGGTGTTTTTTTTTTATTTCCACAGCAAATTTGACTTTGTTGCAAGTTAGTCAGAAGTCAATAGAATTTAGTCAGGCAATGAAGCCAATTTTTAACAACACTTTGGACCAACCGATGCCTTCAAAGATTCGATGTGAAAACGGTATTTAAAACATGACATTATGTACATTACATTTTGAAATTGAAACGATTTTGGCAAATTTACAGTTTTGATTCAAAAAATTAAAATTTACATAAATTAAAAAAATAAATTGTTCGGTATCGAATTTAATAGATATCATAGAATCCTAATTAAAAAAATGAGGTTAAGTACGTAAAAAAGCAAACATGAAATTGTTTTTAATATTAATTATAATGTTCATGAACATTTATCAATATGACTTGTAGTTAGTTTTTGCGTAAGCTTCCATACCCTTGCTCTAAAACGCCCATCCGTATTTCAACCTATGATCGTAATTTATTTTTGCATAAATTTTGTTTATATTGTTGTTTTTTATTTATTTTTATTATTTTACTAATATAAAACATTCTATCAAAAAGTTTTCTTGATTTTTTTTATTTCTTACAGAAAACCTTACGTCCACAGAAAACCTTGCAGCCACAGAAAACCCTGAGTCCACAGAAAACCCTGAATCCACAGAAAACCCTGAATCCACAGGAAACCCTGCGTCCCCCTCCTCGCATTTAAGCTCAGATATTCAAACTAACACTGACACAAACCTACGTATGTTATAATGAAATAAATTAAATAATACTTTTCCACCTTTTATATCTACATTATGGAATTCAATAAACAATATTAATGAAATAAATTCAATATCCATTATGTTAATCTGACGCCTTCGAATGACATCCGAAACCCCTTCATGGGCTCCCCTAATTATTTTTCTCTTAAGCTTGCGCTTACTCTAGTTGTTATTTTTGTAACATATTTTTCTCAACAGTGAATTTGAATACTATGCGGTCTGGTGAGAAGTCTGTAGAATTTAGCCAAGCTGTCAAACCAAGTTTTAATAACACTTTGGACCAACCGAAACCTTCCAAGATTCTACGTGAAAACGGTACTTACAAAATATTTAATACATTACATGTGCACATTCTTCGGTAAATCTAGTAAATGAAAAGTTTATATTTGAATACTTTTGGAAAAATAAATAACCTAGTACAACTTACAAATGTTAATGTGTATAAAATAATTGTTACTCATAATTATATTAGTCAATATAACATAGAGCCTTATCTCTCTGATCGCGCGTAATTTAGATTTTTATTAATTTGGGGTGTATTATCTTCCTCTTTTTTTCACTAGCCTGTAATGTCCCTCTTCTGGGCAAATGCCTTCCTATCTCGCTTCCACAGCTCCCAATCTTTTGACCGTGTCCAACAGTCTCGACGATAGGTGTCTAGATCGTCACGCCATCTTTTCCGGGGCCTACCCCGCCTGCGGCCTCTATCCTGAGGTTTCCACTGGGTGACAATAGTGGCCCATCTCTCCGGATGCAATCGGCTGAAGTGTTTTCATATAATCATTTACTAACATAAAATTTACCGTAGAAAAAACTAATAATTGATTTTTACCTACTACGTCGTTCTACGTTCACGTCCGCTTCCGCACATTTGAGCTCAGATATTCAAACTAACACTAACAGAAATCTAAGTAAGTTAAATTATGTAAACAATCATAAAACTACTAAAGCTTTGTTCATAAAAGTTTAACGCTTACTCGATTTCTCGTAGTACTTTCAGTTGTAACGCTTTCTCGATTTCTCGTAGTACTTTCAGTTTTCCGTACAGTATCTAATATGAGCTACCTGCTAACATGTGTCTTTCTGATGAATTTTCAATCGTCAATCTGACTTGCTTGTAATCTGACCTTTATTTGAGAAATTATAGCAAGATTGATAAAAAAATCAAAATAAGTTGAAAGTCATGATCATGATCAACGTCGTCTCAGTGAAAAACTCATACAAAAACGTGGAAATTTTTGACGTCTCACAGAAAACGTGACGCCCACAGAAAACCCTGCATCTACAGAAAACCCTGCATCCACAGAAAACCCTGCATCCACAGAAAACCCTGCATCCACAGAAAACCCTGCGTCCGCCTCCTCGCATTTGAGCTCAGATATTGAAACGAACACTGACATGAATCTAAGTAAGTTACAACCAAATTATTTAAATAATCATTAAATTACTAAATTGTCCACAAAAGTGCAACTTTTGTGAACGAGATTTTAATTCGTGTGTTACGGTATGTTAACAGTTAAGTACTACGCCGTAGCATGTTTTATTCTGTTGCATTCAAGTGAGATTATTTATCTCCCGAACATGACCCCATAACTATGCACTTGAATTCATTACTATAAAATATATACTTAATTGTTTTTATTATGTCAACAGTGAATTTGAACTCGATGCGATCTGGTCAGAAGTCTGTAGAATTTAGTCAGGTAGTCAAGCCAAGTTTCAACAACACTTCGGACAAATCGGTATCTTCAAAGATTCGACGTGAAATTGGTACGAGCAAAACATTAATATAACATTGTAGATAAATCTAGTAACAGAAAGGTTTCCCATTAAAATTTTAACACCCGGTTTCTGAAAGCTTGTCAACGCTAAAATTAACTAATCTGCTGTTAAATCTCTTGTCAAGTCATCTGATTGGTTGTTGATAATTCAGTCAACCAATCAGATGAGTTGACAAGAGATTAAATTGATTTTAACATTGATTGGCCTTCCGGAAACCGAGTATAAGTATTTTAAGTCATGTGAGTCACTTGGCGTTTACTGCTGAACATGATAGATCGATGGGTCCAACCTGTTTTCAGTGATTTTGTGCATCCTTATTTAGGTTGTCTGGAAGGACTCCCGTCTGAGTGTGATCTTCAGATTTTAGTTCTTAATTCGTTCCCCATAAACTTTTCAAATTTTTATGTTATAGATATTAAAAAACAAATCACCTCACTCTCCCATCTAATGGGCAAGAAGAGACAAAGTTCTACAATCAGTACACCAGTACTCGCACAATTCTCGACGCCATTTTGCACTGATGCGACTGCAGACAATTGGATGAATGAATGCCATTCTACGAAAAAAGGTTTGTATTTTTGCATTTAGCTTTTGATATTTATCGACATTTTCACTAACTGATATAAATCAACTTCTAAACAAATGCTTCCCTCTTAAAAGCGTTTGCTTTTAGAGTTAGGCTAAATTCTAGTAAAAAATATCTTTAATTCTTAGTTCAGTCCTTAACAAATTATAGGACAGATTTAGCACATAAATAAATAAGATTCATAACCAAAAAAAAGTATGTAAAACTCAATAAACATGTCTCACATTTTAGCGTGCCAAGAGTTGACTATTTCTGATTTAGAAGAAGTACAGAAAGAAAAAATTGCAATCGGTGAGTATTATAACGAAGCTCTTCACCTCAAATTTTATCATCATGACTCTTATGAGTTTAATTCCTTTCCAGAGTCCGAGTGAATATGTTGCTTAACCCATCTCTCTCTCTCTCTCTCTCTCTCTCTCTCTCTCTCTCTCTCTCTCTCTCTCTCTCTCTCTCTCTCTTTCTCTAGTAGACATACTCCATCGTAGGCTGCGTCATCGCATACTAGACCAGATAAATAAAAATAAAATTGTAACGAAAGTATTCATCGTACTCCAGTAGGGCTCTTAGGAGTTCATCTTAGCTTTATCTATACTTTGTCGTAGTTCACCTAAGTTTTATTTATAAGACCCAACGTAGACTGTGATTTTTTGAAATCCAGTACACAAATGTTTGCGATTTGCCACTAAGAAACAGTTTCAGTGAGCACATAGCCAGTCACAGAACAATAACAAAAGACACAGTGACAAGCAATCAGTATCATCAGGCCATGATCGGCGAAATTGAAATAAAGCAAATGGGGAGAGAAGCTCTGCGGCTGCACATGATAAAATATAATAATAGGATAAACATTTTGCAGGATCCCCAACAATTACTTTCTCAAAGGACAGCCTTGAGGACGTACTACCTATAAATAAATTTAAACATAGAAGCTTTAGTAAAAATAATGATCCTGAAATCACTGTGAACCCTGCAATGGTTGATGAAGTAACATCAGGTAACTCAAATTTTAAATATAATCTTTAAATTTAATACCATAAACAAAACAAAAATTTAAGACAATTTTCAAATTTTAGATAAAAATATCCTAATAACCAAAGATGTGAAAGAGAGTATCCTTCAAGCTTGTCCAGATATTTGCGACGCAGGTATATTTTGCATTTATTCGAATATTTTTTATCTTCTCTATACATAGTTTTACTAGAAAATTTCTCCGTAGACTCGGCATGTCAATACAAGGGTTCCAAATTAAGTATAATAGTAAAGTTGAAACGGAATTGTAAAAGAAAACCTCGTGTGATATCGATAAACTTTACGAAGTGTAAGAGTTTATAGGTGGGCATTAACATAATTTTGTTTAATAAGTTATTCGTTTTGAGAGATATGTTGTGTTTGTTACGCATTGATAATATTTTGTGACGAAACAGTACAAAAACGAAAAATGCAAACTTTTTGGATACTAAAACCTTATATGATTCATGCGTAATGACATCGACTATGCTCTAAAAACGCCTTTACGACTTACATAATAGTGACTTAATTACTAAACTCGTGTAGGAACGGAGTCGCTACCAGGAACACATAAATCTGCTGGTGTGCTAACAAGTCAATGGGTTCTGCCATCAGCCCCACCGTGTTTGCATGATTCCAATAATGGTAAAGTTTTATTTTATTTTTTACAAGCTACTCTCGCGCGGTTTCACATGCTGCTCAGCTCCATTTGATCGTAGCGTGAAGTTTTATAGCCTATAGCACTCAGGAACATTGTAACTGTCTATCAGTGACAGAATTTTGGCAATCCGACAAGCGGTTCCAAAGATTACTCCCTACATAATAACATACAAACTTACAAATTTTACGTCTGTATAATATTAGCATAGATAAATACTTGAAGAACAGATCTTAACAGATTAAAAATTAAAACCAAGAAGAGAAGTGGCCCATAAATATGATCTACAACACGTGATCATGAAGCTGAGTTAAAAATGAAATGCTTTCATTAAAAGTTTAGTCTGTGCACACTAACTTATTCATAATCAGCCTATAAGTGACCACCCGCTAAGCAAAGGCCTGTTCTTACACGAACAAGGTTTGACCTTTAATCGCCAGTTCACCACGCTTCCTAAAAGTGGATTGGAGATTTCAAATGTATCTATAACTAGAAATCATTACTCCAGGTAACTGTACGATGTTTTTTTCACTGTTAATATGTTGTGTCTAAATAATCTTAAAAAGAAACATTACTAAAATTAAACTATTTAATTCTATGATAGATAATTAATATGATATATTTAATTATATTATATAACTCCCGGGGTGCTAGCGTATCTATGGGCGTACCGCAGGGCTCAATATTGGGTCCATTCCTATTTTTGGTTTATGTCAATGACTTGCCCCATTTATTCCAAAGTGAACCGCATATGGTATTATTCGCTGATGACACATCCTTGATTTTTAAATTAAATAGACGATCAAATAACTATGACGAAGTGAATAATGCCTTAATGAAAGTTCATAATTGGTTCACAAAAAACAACTTAGTACTTAATGATAAAAAGACGAAATGCATTAGATTTATTTTGCCAAATGTTAAAAGTAACGTATGCGATGATCTATTATTAAATGGTCAGAAACTGGAATTTGTAAAGGAGACCACATTCTTGGGGATTACTGTAGACGACAAGCTGCAATGGGGGCCCCACATTAGATCTCTAGCAGGGCGGTTGAGCTCGGCAGCTTATGCTGTCTGGAAGATCCGTCAGCTAACCGACGTAGGCACGGCACGACTAGTGTACTTTAGCTACTTTCACAGCATCATGTCGTATGGAATTCTGTTGTGGGGACAGGCATCCGACGTTGAGTCTATCTTTATCTTACAAAAGCGTGCAGTCAGAGCTATCTATAACTTAGGTCGTCGCGAATCTCTCAGAGAAAAGTTTAAGGAGATCAACATTATGACCGTACCATGTCAATATATTTATGAAAACATTATGTATGTTAGGAAAAACCTACAGCTATTTGTAAAAGTATCTGACAAGCATGACTATCCTACTAGACATAGAAATAGATTAAGTCAGCCTTTATTTAGATTAGCAAAAGTGCATAAGTCGTTCATGGGATTATGTGTTAAATGTTATAATAAAATCCCAACTGAAATACAAAATCTTAATGAAAGTAAATTTAAATTATGTATAAAGAAAGTATTATGTAGGAAAGCATACTACAAACTAAATGATTATATAGAAGATAAAAATGCTTGGAGGGTGGCTGGTTTGACTGCACAGGATAAAAATTGTTAAGGTTAAGAGGAATTTTGATCTCAATTATTAAATTATTTACCATGTTGTTAATTGTTGATAAACTGGATTTTTGTAAATGTGAGAGCCCTGTAACTTATTATAATTGAGTTAGACTTATAGACTTATAGTATATTGGTACTTGTGTCAGTTGGGAGTTGTCATGCTCACTCAGGAGTCTCATTGGCGGTGGCACGGGCACTGGGCCGCTCGGTTCCCTATAATATGGTTGAGTTGGGCGGTGCTGGTGTACGTGTCATGTTCGTGAACGGACGCCGCCTATTGGGACTGGTCAACTCGAGACTGTCTAAAGTTGCTGTCCCTGAGGGTTATTTCTTTTTCGGATACTTTGGTTAAACACTAGTGTTACACTGTTCTCACATAATGGAACTATCTAAATTATGTAACAATGCATTGTAAAAAGTGATTGAAAAAGAGTAACCATGGAGTTTCTTGCTCGTTCTTCTCCATAGGAATCTACACTTTGGAACGAGCAAATAGCTTCACTAGAGGACAGACGGACAGACTGACACATAAAGTTAAACCTTATGATATCTTTTTTGCTTGACGTTCAAAAGTGCCTTTTTTGGTCTATTTGAAATAAAGAATTTGATTTGATTTGATTTGATTTGATTTGATTTGATTTGATTTGATTTGATTTGATTTGATTTGATTTGATTTGATTTGATTTATGTTACAGAGTGCGTGTTTGTGTATGGACAGCCTCATTGTGCGAAACACAAAAAAAGCTCCGACGCCGAGGTTCAGATCACGTTGACAGGCGAAAGTGGTGAATTTAATTTTAAACACTTATTAATTTACTTCTAACATTGTAATAAGTTGTTATAACCTATCTTGCCATCGGTTTTGTTCGCAATTTCACCCAAAAAGTAGTTTAGTAGTTTTTACGTGAGAGTAATACAAATCGCATCCTGACAATTTTAATAGCTTAATAGGTTAAGCAAACTTTTGCGCTTGCAATATAAGTAGGTTTAATATCAATGTTTTCATTAATAGACAAATAAGCTGTATTTATGTAAATATAAAGAATCTGCTACGCCGTAGTTTCGAGGGGCCTACGCCGTAGGCATAACATCACAACTGCTACAACGTAGCTATAGCGCGATATACAAATATTTGTGTGGATTTAAATAAAAAATGACAATAATAATTCAAAGTCTGTAGACATTGTAATAACAGAAATAGCTCTACGAGACAAATAACTTAGCATAACTGGACGTTTCCCTTGAAAACTAGGAGTTAAACAAAAGAATAAATCACTCAATCGAGTCAATTTACTAATGTAGGGAGCACAGCATTGTCTATGAATAACATTATTCAATTTCGGTATTAAATCTGAAACGTGTGTGTTTTCTATGTGTAGATCATTCCGTTGGTATGCTGACATCACTTTGCGCGTTAAGAGCAGAGCGCAGTCAACGGAAATCTAGCGTTCCCATTGGTGAAGTTTTGTCACCTAAAGGTAAGAACTCTTTAATATTAAAACCAAATTAGTGACTATTTAGGACCAAAATGTAATGTCCTTTTATGTAATAGTAGACCGATTAGTAACCTTACTGAACGACCAGACGGATCGCCCTGTTTACCATAACCTCAAAGGAGAGAGCGTTGCCGTTGGGGGTTATGCATTTGAAGATTATGGATTTGGAGATTGGAGATAAGGAATGGTAGGAATCAGCCTCTGTAGACCTCACTCCCGCGATGAGGCCACTGTATCATTCCGGTTGAGCCTGTAGCGCATGGCTCTCTCACTTATAAATTAAAGTTATATGAAGGTTGCCCCAATGGAAATTATTTAAAAACATCCCATAATCGTTAATGTAAACGTCGCAATCACGATTGTCCAACAAACGTCGAGTTCTGAACTCCATCTCCAAAGATTTTTTTTTTTAGAAAATCGCCCCTCTTTAAAATTTTCTCCTGTGTCGTGGGTGCGTTTACAAACATACAATTTCACATGCACATCACACCCACACCCGAAACAACAATCTGTGGATCACACAAAGAGTCGTTCCGTGCGAGAATCGAACCCGCGACACGTTGCGCGGCAGCCTGTTGTTGTTGAAAGTTAATTCCAACGATAGCTAAGTTTGTTTATCTATTAGATAACTGATTACTCGTCCAATTAAGTCAATAAGGAACAGATGTCAAAATGTGCGTTGAAGCATGTTTGTTTATATTGAGATCAACTACTAAATTAAACACAACAATACCTAGATCAACAGAAACGTACAAAGCAAGTAAACAAAACAACAAAAGCTCTGTCAACCTCCATTGAACCATAGTATTATAGGACAAGGGAAAATAGAACTTACGTACTGAATACAAGCGTCAAAACACTATGTTATTTGCCGTTTATCATTGGGTAAGTACCACAGGATACGCCCTCTTGTGCTTAGGAACTGATTTATTAAAGTTTTGGTACGAAGATATAGCATTGGCAAGGAATCAACAATTTTCATTATGTTTACAAGGTACAACATACATGCGTTTTTTGTATTTGGAACAGTCACGCTCGAATACGTTGCGTGTTAAGGCGAAAAGGACAATGAAAGAATGGAGGTTAAAGTATTTTTGACGGATTTTGCATTCGATGCTTTAGCATGTATTACATTTAAGACTGATTTTTCAATAGCCAGATTAATGTTATCTGAGGAATAAAATTGTTGCTGTCACTGTCTTTTACAAACATTCTGACGGGACAGCATCATAATTACACCCCAGGTAACTTTTATCTAACCATTGAAAAATCAGCCCTCAAAAAGTAAAATTATTAAGTGTCGGTAAGATAGTAGTTTAGTTATGAAAACTTTTAGAGGACCTGTGTCCTCTAAAAGTTTTCATAACTAAACTAACATTTCATTGTACAGACAATGAAATGTTAAATTGGCCTGATCTTGTATTGGATTAGGATGTGGTTTTTTGATTATCCGACCTAAACAGTTTATTACTTCTACATAACTATCTGAGACGTTCAGAAATTGTGATAGTCATCTGTCGGCTATTGTACCTAATAGTAATAAAACTTCCACTTGCAATGGACGCTCGTTTAATGCTGTCAAAGGACACGGCATTCAATATGGCGATGCGCGAATGCACAGTTACACACATAGACACAGAATGGTCTAGCTCGATCAGAGTGATACCATTGCCTCACAAAAAATCTGCGTAGAACTACCACAGCGTGTGTTTTGCCGTGTGAGTGAGTTTACCGGAGGCCCAATTCTTTTCCAACCCCTTCCCCGTCCAATCTCCAAATCCTCAATACTTCAATTCTTAACAACCTTAAAAAGGCTGGCAACGAACTTGTTACATCTTTGGCGTTGTATATTATCAGGTGATATGATTGTTCGTTTGCAAACCTTTGATTTTGTCTGCACGGTTGACACAGTGACTGGGTAACTGTCCGATTCCCGCACAGAACAACACTTTGTGTGATCCATAATTGTAGTTTCGCGTCTGGGTGATTTGTGTATGTGAATATGTACGTTTGTAAACAACCACTCACGATAAAGAAGAAAATCCGAATGTGGGGCAACGTCTTTCTTAAAAAAAACACTATCCCACAAGCTAATACTATATTTAAAGTTTATTAATATATTTTTTCTTGCAGTTTACAAGGCATTGTACGAAACCACAAAGTACGTAATGAGCGATTCTAAGAAACCTAACAGTGGCGAGAGTAATGCGGTATTGAAGGTCGATGCAGGTGAGAGTTCATTTCTGTTATAATGTTATGAGTAATTATCATTATAATATGTTTGACATCATGATCGTCATAATCATACAACATACATCACCAGCTTATAAGTGCCCACCGCTAAGCAAAGGCATCTATCTTCTCACTCGGAGAAGGTTTGACCACTAATCACCACGCTAGCTCAAGGCGGAACAGCGTTCCAAACTTAAAATTTGAAATTAAACGTCTAACGAAGTTTTCCATCACCGTATGTCAGTGGTGTCTAAATACCATAGAAACTACCTACATACCTATAACTCGGAGAAGTCATATTGGTACTTGCCAGGTTTCGCCGCACCCTGTATAAAAAGCGGGCGCCTTAACAAACCAACCTTAACGGCCACCACGACGATAATCGTCATAATTATTGGCCCGATTTCATTAGATATTATTGTACCTAGTCCTGCCTAAAATAAGATTTACTTTGAAACTAAGTTGCAGTCGTTGTCGAAAGCACGTAGAGAAGTTTATTCAATATAAATAAAGAAATAAACTAATAGATATAAATCAGTCTAGACCTTATTGCCTAAAAGTAAACACTATCGATAGTATTTGTAATTAATTACTCCTTGGTAAACATATTAAATCTTGATTTTCATTGTTCTTAAGTAATTTTATTAGGTGAAGTCAAGGGGATACTGCTATATACTAACATGAACTGTTTCTTCACTTATGTATATAGAATGGTTTTAAGGCTGATATTTTAATGGTTAGATAAAAGTTACCAGGGAAATAATTATGATGCTGTCGCATCAGGGTGTTTTTTTATGGTATAAGTCGGCAAAGGAGAAGACGGATTACTTGATGGTAAGCAATGGACACCCGCAACACAAAAGAAGTTACGAGTGCATTGCCGGCCTTTTGGGGATAGGGGTTGCGGATATAAGGATCGGGAAGAGATAGGGGAAGGGAAGGGATTGGGCCTCCGGTAACCCCACTCACACGGCGAAACATCACTGTGGGTTGTTTCACGCCGGTATTCTGTGAGGCCGTGGTATCACTCCGGTCGAGCCGACCCATTCGTGCCGAAGCTTGGCTCACCCACACAGTTTGTATAAGACAGTGAGAGCAACAATTTTATTCCTCAGTTAACATTTATCTGACTAAAGAAAAATCAGCCCTTAATTTAGTAAACAATATTGATTCTTATTTACTTACGTGTAATCGGGATTTGATCTTAACGGATCTAACTTGTTAAAGATTTATTTATTTCCATTACACTCCTTCATTTCTGTACTTTAAATTATTTCTAATAATTTTATTATTTAAATTAACCTTCACATTTGAGTATGAAAATGAAATTAATGATAACTATAAAGTTCACATAGCTAGCGAAACTGAAACCACACAAGACGTCTGATTAGGAGACAGCCTTGTCCTCATTAGGTATTTCTCTGAAATGGTAACCTTTAAATAATATTTTACTGAGATTGGAAACAGGCGTTTAATAGGTTACTGCCTTCCGCGTCCATAGTGTCGAAAACAGCCCTCAGTCCTACGTCTCCTTAAAACGGAGATATCGGCGAAGAAACATAAAAAACATAATTATATACATACTTACGGTCGAATTCAGCCGGGTTTGCGGGGTAAGCGCAATGAGGCACCGCGACCCCGGCCCAGAGCAGGAGTAGGAACGGGGGCTTTGAGTCAGTAAGTGTCTGACACTCCCTCCCTCTCAACAATGGGCGGGAGAAGAAATTTGATGATTTTCACCTCCCAAAAAAAAAACTAATCGTATTGAGAAACTCCCTCCTTTTTGGTAGTCGCTTGAAAATACAAAATATATTTTTATAATAGATATACTATGTTGGCATCTTTCAGCTTTAATGAATTTTGTTACCAAATTTAACAAACTTTTGCTAAAATTTTGTTTGATTTGGGTACAGCTTGACAAAAGGTCGCCAACGAGTGTTGCCGTTTGAATTCTTAATGCCAAAATATAGATAATGGATGTTGCCTTTTATATTTAAGTTTTACAATTTTGCTCTAGCAATAATTGACTTATTTTTAAATCGGCTTATTGTTTAACCAATGTTCGTTTTATTGGGCAACGTAGCTCCAATTCATAGATTTCCAACTCTATTTCAAAGCTGCAAAATCTTTATTAACTCAAAAGGAATTGTATATTATGAGGTTAGTTTATTAACTGGAGTAGGTACCTAAGTGGATGTCTACAAGACGTATCTTATTAAAAGTAAACGAGTGAAATTGCAGCACAAGTAAAAAAACACATTTTCTGTTCTTCGTCTGTAAATTATCTGTCTCATTTGCATTTCAATAAAAAGTCGTAAATTGTCTATTTTTACCTGACTACGGCAAAGCAGAAGGAGGGAATGATTTTGAGAATAAGATTTTCAGAATACTGAAAGGCGTAGTCACACGTTGTCAGAGTTCTACGATATATATGTATACATATCTAATGTAGTTGGGTTTTAGTTTTTATACTTTTTTGTTCCATGACCACAGAGGTCGAAGCGGTTAAAGTTCCCGACGTAAGATCAGCAGGCGTGGTTACATCAAGCGGACGCGCCTTCAGTCTCTCGGAGAGACAGAGCTCGTGCAAAGATAGAAGCTCTCATGCGCATAACCGTTAGTACTTAAGTTGATTATGTTTTATCCTTTACGTAATGTTGTATGTGAGTGTGGGAGTGTATGCAAGTGTGGGAGAGCCAAGCACCAATTGATTGAATTGAAAAATTTCGCCGTGTCAATAAGGTTACCGGAGGCCGAATCCCTTCAAATACCTTACCTAAAATTGTTTTGTGTTTGCAGTAGGTAGTAGCTAATATTATACTTACTGGTTTTTGGAAGAAAGGTTTTATTTATGTGATAGTACAGCAAACGGGCTTACGGATTACCTGATGACTAGTAATCGGCGCCGCCCATGGACACCCAAATCACCAGAGTTATGATTGCATTGCCGGCCATTTGGGGATCAGGGTTTTGGAGATATAAGGATTGGGGAAAAAGGGCAAAACACAACGCAGTGGTTTACTGCGACCAAAGCCATTGAAACCATTCGTGCCAAAACGTGGCACTACCACTCTTTTATTTATATAATTACATTATTATTTCAGATTGCGCATTATACCGAGTCACTGATAGTGAAAACCCTGATAAAACCCATACTCACACGAAGTTAGTAAATATGTCAGAAGAAAATAAAGAAGGTAAGCAGGATAGTTATCAAACATTAGGTATACCTAATTACCTAAGATTTTTTTTTTTTTTTTTGCAAAATTATGCCTTAGCCCAAAATGGCGTGATCCACTGATTGTTGTTGCGAGTCTGGGTGTTAGGTATGAGTTTTTGAATTTATTTATTTACAGGAAAAATTGAAGTGTGGTTCGACTTTTAAAAAAAAATTTGAACAACTACTGCCATCTATCCTTAGTCGCCAGAAGAAACGAACTAAATCAACCACCTTTATCCACGTATCTAGTACCTACTAAGACTAACGTACTAACTAGTTATTTTTTTAGGTGTTGATGAATATATAAAGACTCACCTGGTGTCGTCCTGTCGTTACTACAGCGGCTTGCTCACAAAACAACTTGGACGCGTCAAAAATAACTGTACGTACCTTCGAAAATTTTAACCTGTTGTGGCAGGCCTTTTCTATACATGGAGTTTGTCAGGAATTGTAATACAGACAAGGTGCTAATTGTAGTCCCAACTGGGAGGCTGATTTTCTATTTCTATATAAGCTAGCTTTTGCTCGCAAAACGCTTGCGTGGATTTAGGCAGACGATAAAAATGTATTTGTAGAAGGTATAGTTTAAACACTATTTACCCAAACCTGTACTCAAGTTTATAAGGGTATATACACCAGTTGGGGGTTCTACTCGAATAGTATTTATTTAGCCGGATTTTACCATATATGTGCCTACTTTCTCGTTCCAAGAAGAAAACTATATCTTTCTATGCTATAACTAACTAAATCTTTCGGGACACTGTATCTTTGAATGAAATTTTATACATATTTCTGTTATTTAAAGCATGTTTTATTACCTATATGCCCGTGGTTTCACCCACATAGTTCCCGTTCTCGGGATTTTATGTGATAAACACCCATGTCCATCTTCGGGAAGGCTAGTTGTCCAACTCTTACCGACTAAAGCCATGAATTTGAATCAGATTTTCCAAAGGGGTCGAATTTTGCCACCAAAAACCTTATCGGATGGAAGTTAATCAATTATTTTTTTGAATACATAAAGCTCCAGCTTTATTCTAAGAATGTATTTTACAGACGCGCATTTTAAAGTATAAGTTTGGTAAATTTGATACAGACTCCTTAATCAACGCAAATAGTTTTCGCTTATCCTTTTTTTTCTTACAATAGAATTCCTTCCATCCACAGTGACGAAACACCTAGCGCTACCTGTGGAGGAACCAGAGCCAACTACCCGCTTACCAATGTACACAACAGTTGAAGCCTGCACAATGAAACCGAGCGGTCGCGCCGCCTTAGCCAGCCAGACACTCAAACATAGCCACAGGACACATTACTACAAGACCCCAAAGCACATGTCTTGCTGCGTACTCTCCCCAGCTATAAGCTTAACCGATATTTGTAAACACGACAAGAGTAACTTAAAAGCAGTATATTACATGTTAACTGCCATTGAAGGGAGACTTAGAAGGCTCAAGTTAAGCACCCATAATATGTATTAGTTGTCAATAGATGTCGCTATTGTAAATTGAAAGTCGGAAACACTCAAGTTGTTTCTTATTAGTGCTTGAAATTGTCAATAGATGTCGTTGTTTTAAGTTATTGAATCTTAAGTCGTATAGTCTTTTGACTTGATTTCTGTACAGACATTTAGCAAGCAGTAATATTTAACAACTATTTAATATTTTCGATATAAAAACACCTTACAATAACAAATGAAATAAAAATCTTCGCAAATTTAATCGTTATTCTGTTTTATTTGTTACGAATAAAGTCTGTAGCAAAGGGTTTCAATAATTTTCATAGTCTGTAACAAACCAGATAAAAAACCTGTTTTTTTAATGTTCAAGTTTGACAAGCTTATACAGGTTGTTCAAATTCTATCAAGCTGTTTTTACTGTTTGGTGATTATATTATTTATATAAAATTGAAAGCATTTATTTTTCAATTACCTAGATCAAAGTAAGTTTTAAGTATTATTCTTTTATTTATATTAGTTTAGCTGCAATAGATAACATATTTAAAATTCTACAGCGTTTAGAAATAAATACAAATACCTTGTAAATAAATCATTGTAACGTTCGATTTACAATTATCAAAAGTCACAGAATCACAGAATCCAAGATATTTGTGTATTTTCATTAGAAAAAAATGATGATTCTATACAATAATCCAATAACAACAAGCTAGATAATATAATATGATAATAAATTGGTACATTATTAATACAGAAATATAATACAAGAGTAATTAAAAATATATACAAATTTAATATTTACAATTGATTATAAATTTTAATCGATAATAATTCGATTACGATAAAAGTACATATAAGACCAGCATATCGATTGCAGTTTCTAAAAAAAATATAACACGAAACTATATGCAATAAACAATGCTGCTTAGAGTTGATTTTTCAAGTTAGATAAAAAGTTATCTGAGGAATAAAATTGTTGCTGTCACTGTCTTACACAAACATTGTGAAGCGACAGCATGATAATTATTCCCCAGGTAACTTTTATCTAACCATTGAAAAATCAGCCCTAAATATATTTTATGAGAACATTAGTTGATTATTAAATCCTGACTTAGAGGAATTGATATTATTAGCTTGTGGTCGAAAGAGTCCTTGTAATAGCATTATTCTTCTTTTCGCCTAATTTGTCCATGTCTAAACATAACCTCTGCTTAGAGCCTCTATAAGGGTTTATGGGACAAAGATTTTATTATAAACTTTAACCAACATAAAACCATGATATAAACTACTGAAAAAATTAAAACTGACTCACTCATAGTCAATCAATAAGTGAAATACCAACATTTTTAAAAAAGGACTAGTAATATGGAGAGAGCTAATTTTTATGATTCTAGATACAAGTCGAAAAACAAGTATAATAACAGCTCATTTAAATAGCTTTTCGATAGTGTACTAATCTAAAAGTTTTTTTTAAGTAGGGAAAATCATCGAATGTCTTCTCCCACCCTGGGCGAAAGATAGAGTCAGACTCTTGCTGTCTAGAAAACCTTTTCCTGCTCCTAGGCGAGGCCGCGGTACATTGCGCTTGCCCCGTAACCCCGGCTGAACATCAGCTCAGTTAGGCCCCATCTGTAGTGGTATATTGGCTGTACGAGGCAATAAAGAACTATTTTAGGTCGATATATTGAGTATGAGAACTGAGTCTTATTAAAATCGAGTCATCAGTTGCTGCCGTGATGTGTAAAACATAGTCCGATTTAAAAATTGTAAAAAGTAATAACTTCAAATTGAAACAACATAAAACATCATAAACTATAATGAAATTACAATAAAGTTGAAATTTTATGCTTAAAGTAAGTAATATAAAAATGTAACAAATAAAAACGTAAAAGACGTAGGTATAACGATTAAGTACAAGCGATTATTTACTTTAATAAAATATAAATAAAGTTTAAAATAAGATGCACCATGTTAAAATCAGTCTGTATAGGTATAAAATTATTTATACAGAATGTGATTATTTGATCGTAAGTAGTTCACTTATTTTAAGCTTTGGAATATTTAAATAAAGAGAGAAACAATATCACCAATAAATGCAAATTCTTAATTATAATAAACATTTTATAACATCACGTTTTTCTATAGTCAGAAAATATGTTAAATTATCCTTCCCATTAAAAATGATGAGATCAAGCGTCTAGAATATTTTCGGAAATGTTTCTGTACATTTCTCTTTCATAAAAACTACGGGAAGGCCTCCGTCTTTTATTACAACTATTGGTTTTTCATCTTTATGGAATGTTCTAAAACAGTCACTACTATGAATACATTTCCATAATAAATTAAAAAAAAATCTGAAACAATTAACAACAGAATAAACTAGTTATAATATGACAAGCTTCACCGAATATAATAGCCAATAGGAATGTTCAAATACAAATACGACACTTCAAACAAACCACTACCTTACTACAATTGTAACAAAGAATAATTTACAATACACTTCTTGTCTATCACCAAAAACCTCAATATCCCTGTTCACCGTTACCTGCACCGAGTGAACGCTTGCAAGCGATTATAACCCTGATTGTCTTCGCAATAAACACTACAATGGTTTGGCACGATTCCTCCATTAACACTCTCAATTGAATCACAGACTTTCCAATGGATCCTGGAACACAAAAATAAAAAAATATAACATTAATACACAGTTAAACATAAACATACATTTTTAAAATTGAGTTATGAAATATTCAATAAAAGTGTGGGAGAGTTTGGCACGAATGGTTCAGCTCGAACGGAGTGATACCACAGCCACACTGAAAACCGGCGTGAAGCAACGACAGCGTTGTGTTTCTCCGTGGGAGTGTGGTTACCGAAGGCCCAATCCCCATCTCTTCTCAATCCTTAAATATCCGAAAATAGACCGTTAATGCACTCTTAACTCTTCCTTTGCCATGGGTGTCCATGGGCGGCGCTGATTGCTTACCATCAGGTTATGCGACTGCTCGTTTGCCTATCTATTACATAAAAAAATTAGGAAATAAATAATATACTTACATTTTCTCCCGTCTCAGGCCAAAGAGCGGGGCGTAAAGACGTGGACTAATGAGTCCCACCCGCAGTCCGCAATCTGATGCGGCCTCAACGCGTTCCAGTCCAAGCCGTATGTGAACTCGGAGTGATGCCTTATCGTTTCTAGGGGCTCGCAGCCACGCTTGAGGTCCCATATCCTGGTGAAAACATTATAATATTCATAAAAGATGTACTTAACATCTATCTATACTAATATTATAAAGAGGTAAAATTTGTGTGTTATGTCACAATCAATAAAGGCGTCTATCGTGTAAAAAACTTAAATAAAACATTTTACAAACGGGTGCAGCTACTCAATGCTAGATGGCGCTGTATCAAATTCATTCTATTCAAAACGGTAACTTCTTTGAAATAGATGTCATATTTGTATGCACTTGTACCGATAGACATTACTATTTTGCTACTCAGATAGGGCAGGGTATCCCAATATATCGATGTTATTGTATTCGTGTGAGCAATATAATTTATCAACACGATATACCTACAAATGATCAGTAATGAAAAAGGTTCTAATAGAAAAAAAGGAAAAATATTAATATTTTTTTGAAGATTTATGTTTTTTGGAGATGGTCAACTTATTATTAAAGATTTTGATTTTAACATATAAAAGCACTACGCGCTCCTACAAGTTTTATCTCCTTTCCAACAAAAATAGAACCGCTTTGGAACCGCTGGTTAGATTGCCAAAATTCTTTCACTGATAGATAGCAACAATGTTCCTTCGTGCTATTGCCAAAATTCTTTCACTGATAATGTTCCTTCGTGCTATAAAACATCACGCTACGATCAAATGGATTTAAGCAGCGGGTGAAACCGCGCGAGAGTAGCTAATCTAAATATATAAATCAATGTCACTTTTCGTTGTGATATTATAACTCAGCAATGCCTCTATCGATTTTGCTAATTTTGGTTTAAAAAATAAAATAATATAAACTATCGAAGTAATTTGTTTATATTTCCCTTTAAATATCTACATAAAACATGTGACTATTTAGGTCACATTGTTAAGTTTGATTTTTATTAATTTACCTTGTAGTAAAATCGTAGGATCCAGCGGCTAATATAGAAGGTGCATGAGGAGAAAACTGTACTCTTCTTACTGCACATTCACATCCTTTAAACAAGATAAACAATATTATTTTATTATTATTTAACAACGAAAATATCACATGAAAATACAGCATAATCAACAAAAAAATATTCTTTCAATAAGGGTTTTTCATTCTTAAAAATGTTCCAAACAGAATATTGTTTTTCAATATGTCACTGTGTTTTACAGTTACAATTCAAATAAACACACATAGCCATTCTTTTTGAGCTCAATCTTTAGCTCGGCAACCTTTCTTTGACCGTAATCCATAATAAAATCAATAATACTTCCAAATACAAAAAAAAAATGTAGTCGGTAAGAATATGTGCTATCTGACAGCAGTTTGGACCTTACGCATACGAAGCGCCGCCTAGCGGAGAGAAAAAGTATCAAAAACCCTCATTGAATAAAAACAATCCTAATTTTACCTTTGAGAGTAAACATGGGGGATGTCAGTCTTCGCAGATCCCAGCCTCGGATTAGGCCATCAGAACCGGCTGTGGCGAGAGCATGTGTCTCCGTTCTACTCCAATCACAGGACAACACCTATGGAAGAAGACTAATGTAGGAATGGTTCTTATTTTCAGTTATCTGCTGCAATAAAAAACTTTAACAATGATGAAGATAGGTAACGAAGTATTTAAAGATACTACTATAATTATGTTTATATGAGGGAATATCATTAATATATTATATGCCTTCTGTAGCCTTACGAGGGGCGAGTAAAAGTGTCAAACTCTTACTAACTAAATACTTCTCTGTTCCTTCTCCTGCTTCAGGCCGAGGGCGTGGTATGTTATTGCGCTTGACTGGCAACCCCAACTTAATTTATAAATAGGTAGTGGAATAAAAATGAAGCTATCCATATGGGTTCATTTGGAAAAAAAAGCAAAACAAAAATAGACTTTGTTATCGAGATAATATAAGGGTCAAATTACCTCAGCATCATGCGCTTTAACAACTGCTGCAGGTCTAGAAGGTTCAGTACAAGTCCACAGCTTGAGGTGACCGTCTCCTGACACTGAGGCGAAGGTAGCCGGGGAATGAGGTGAGAACGCAGCCGTGTAAACCAGCTGAGAATGACCCACAAAAGTACTGAGGCAAGCTTCAGATTCAGGGTCCCACTGAAATGGTTAACACATTAAATTTAATTAAACATATTTATGGATTCATCTATAAATAATCAAGGTTGGAACTTGAATGTTAATGTGGCCACTGGAAATTAAGAATCTCATAAAATTGAACCCAAACAAATTACTTTAAAGACGAATTCCAAAACTCAATACACACTATTAAAGTGTGGGAGAGCCATACTAGGGAGTAATGGGCCGACTCGACCAGAATGATTCCAAGGCCTAACAAAAACCAGCGTGAAACATCCACAGCTTGTGTTTCGTCGTGTGGGTGAGATTACCAGAGGTCCAATCCTCCAAATTATCTGACAATATTAATGAATGCATATTCTATAAAGAATAAATATGAGATTCTCTTAAGAGAAGAAATGAATGCATGCATATTTTTATTACTTTTCATAAGTTTTACATTAACTTAATGTTATTTAAGTAAAGACAAAAACATTTATTAAGTTCAAAGTTGTAATCAAAACCAAACTGTTCTCCAGCCACTTACCAATTTAATAGTAGTATCCCAACTAGCGCTCAAAAGATGTGTCCGAGGCCAATCTACCGAGCAAACCTCACTGGTATGCGCCCTCAGGACTCTCAAAGGAGCTGAACAGCCCACTCTCCAGACTATAATGGCACCGTCCCCTGCACCACAAGCTGCTGCACTCTCTGTGGTACCTGACCATGTCTGTGAAGCATTAAGAAGATTAATTATTTATTTAGTATTTATTACATACAAATACAATATTTATTTATTACATTTTTCCCCTAAAGTGGCTTAGCAATTTGACTATGGATCATGATAAGATTGATTCAGTCTCTATGAACAAGTATTTCATATTATGTACCTTTATTTTTTAATAATAAATAACAGTATAAGAGTTGGATATTGCTCCATCACCACTCTGTATAATATGTACTAAATTGTGACAAGACACAATAAAAAGAGTTTTAATCTTCATTGTTATTTAACAAATCTGATACTACAGAAGGCCTTAACCTGATTTTAAGTAAAAACTCCTTTATAGATTCAATATGTATACAAATACCTCCAAGGTATCAACCACTGCTCAGCCCTTTTTTATTTGATTATGATGTTTTATAGCCTTCCGCAATAAATGTACTATTCAACACAAAAATATTTGCTCAATTTGACCAAGTAGTTTTTATGATGAACACATTCAAATACACAAACACTCTCCCACTTTACAATACTTAAAGTACAGGCAAATAATTGCCTGTATTCTGCTTTTCATTTGCATAAATACTGTAACTAGTAATAATAAAAACTGTAAGATAAACCTAGGTTTATACAGGACACCACCAATGAATCCTTGCAGAGGCCATTATAATATTCTTTGAAAATAATTACTACTGAGTGCAATTTATTCTTCAGAAAATCTCATTTAAAACTGTATTTTTAAGGTCTATTATACAATATCTTGATTTAAGTTTTTCTTTACTGACAAATTTTGACGCAGAAAATACTAGCTAAAGCAAGAACTATGAACAACAATAGATTCAGGAACTAATGTTTAAGTAAGTCATATATATTGATGAATAGAGGTCAAAAAACTAATACAAAACTGAAACATGAAGAATCAAAGCAATTTGTTAACAGTTGTTGATTGTGAACTATTAAGTCATTGCCTAGTGGTATTCTGTTACAAAGTCTAATATTGAGTGACACATTCTTTCATATAAAATATACCACAACGGACAGTATATAAGGCACACATTAAATTTACAAAGTTATTACAAAATCTTCACTGTAGAACTCTTAAATTAATTGAATTACAAGGTGTCAAATGTAACCAACAATTACATGATAAATCCCATACTTAAATTAACCAGGAACTTAAGTCAATTGTCTATAAATAAATAAATTAATGGCAACACACAAAAGTAAGCCAATTATGTGATGATGCAAATACTCCGATGTACCTAGGTTTCAGTTGTATGGTTTCCATGTGTGAACATGGCTTATAATATGAATATATTCTTGTTTACTTATGGGGCTAAGAATAGATGACAGTACAACTGATTTTCTGTTTTGTAATGAATGAAATATGACTACAGACAAAACATTGAACAAAAAAAGCCTCTGACATCAATATTTTCTGAAAAACTGTATTGGTATTGTTATTCTAATAAGAAGTTGTGTTAAGGGGAATAACAACTTACTTATCTTTTATGGCATGATAATAATGTAAATTCAAGGCAAGAGTTATAAATTGTTATCAATTAAAATAACCTTTGGATAGACTTGATTTTGGTAAATACAATAAAACTTACCACATCAAATAGCCCATCGCTCCACTCTAGTTTCTGAACTTCTATGATGGTGCTCCCATCAGGAGCTAGCTCTAAGAAGAACAGAGTTCCACCTCCAGCCAGGCCATAATATTGGCTAGTTGCAACGGCCAAAGTGTCCGGCCTTGTCCGGGAAAACCGAACGCTGTAGCCATGCCGGCCAGGCGTCAAAAAGGTTGGCATGCTGATAGTATAACTACAAAACAAAAAAACAACAATTTGTAAAACATGTAACAAAAGCCACCGAAATATCGTCGTTTTAACTTACGATTTTTGATCCCAATACGTCACATTGCTTTACATAAAACAGTAAATATACAAATTTGTGTATTTAGGTCAATTCGTATCAGAATCCTATTAGTTTTCGCTCCGTAAATAATATTTTAATCCTCATTTAACACTTCATAACCTTTGGAAACTGTCAAAACAAACGTCATCTTTGACGTTTTGCTAATTCAACGATTTCTTAGCCAAACTTAATGAGGGGACATCAAATCGATTTCAATGTGAGTAGGTATGCGTCATATAGCTTAAATCTTATTAGTACGCCTACGAACGAAATCCAATTAGCCGGTTAACGTGTTCTGCATGAAACCTCACATGTCACCAATATATAAGCAACATTTCCTTAACATGATCATTTCTGGTGAACACCTCAAAACCTCCACACTCAGCTTATTCAAATAACAACTTGAATATAGTTATTTCTTCTAACTTATTTCCCTTTTCACATCCCTTTCCAACAAATCCAACAAAATGTTGGACTACTTTGCTTTGGCTTTTGTGGTTGCAGTAAAAGTATTTAAGAAAACAACTCCAAATGGAAAAGTTACGGTTTACCTTGGCAAGCGTGACTTCATTGATCATATGGATTACTGCGATCCCGTAGATGGAGTGGTGGTAGTGGATACGGAATACCTGAAAGGAAGAAAAGTTTATAGCCAGGTGCATTGTTAAGTGATATCGAAAGTGCAGTGTGTGAACGTGTAATGTTAATTTAAAATCTTCTAATACCACCTAATTGTGTGTTTTGTAGCTCGTAACCACGTACCGCTACGGTAGGGAGGAAGATGAAGTGATGGGATTGAAGTTCTCAAAGGAAATGGTAATCGGCCAAGAACAAGTTGTCCCAATGATCAACTCTAAAATGGAACTGACTCCTGTTCAGGAGAAGCTGCTGAAGAAGCTTGGACCCCACGCCTTTCCTTTTACATTCAACTTCCCTGAACTGGCTCCAAGCTCGGTAAACTACACCACCTACTGCATTTCATTCTAAGGAAGGGAATAATAGATTCTAATAAAAATCTTTCGCTAACAGGTAACACTGCAGCCTTCTGAAGAAGATCAAGGCAAGCCCATGGGCGTGGAATACTGCGTCAGGACTTATGTGGCTGAGCAAGAAGACCAAAAGAGCCACAAGAGGAGCTCAGTCACCCTTGCCATCAAAAAGGTAACTTAAAGACAACCCGATAATACTTTATTGTAAATTTTCTATGAATCTTATATATACTGTGTTCTTTTTTACAGTTGCAACACGCACCAACATCCCGTGGACGTCGTCTCCCAAGCTCTCTCGTAAGCAAAGGATTTACTTTCAGCAATGGAAAGATCAACCTGGAAGTGACTTTGGATAGAGAAATTTACTACCATGGCGAAAAGGTTGCTGCTAATGTCATCGTGTCAAACAACTCTAGAAAATCTGTTCGTAACATTCGCGCGATGGTGGTGCAGCACGTCGAGATTACTATGATCAACTCTCAATTCAGTCGCCATGTTGCCTCTCTGGAAAGCCGTGAGGGATGCCCCGTCACTCCTGGAGCAAGTCTGTCCAAAACATTCTACTTGGTACCTTTGGCTCGTAGCAACAAAGACATTCGTGGTACGTGTTTATAACTCTCACTATTATAAACTTACTTTATTTTATTTTTTCTAATATTTTTAATTGAACAGGTGTGGCTTTGGATGGACATCTGAAGGAAGATGACGTAAACTTGGCTAGTTCTACTCTCGTTCCTGAAGGAAAATGCCCGGCTGACGCCATTGGTATTGTTGTCTCTTACTCAGTAAGGGTCAAACTGAACTGTGGAACTCTTGGTGGAGAACTCGTTACTGATGTGCCTTTCAAGTTGCTTCACCCGGCTGAAGGTAGTAAATCTTGAGGTATTTCAATCACGTTTCAGTCAGTTTTTGAATATTGGCTAAGGGATGCCTCATTTTACAGGATCTGTTGAACGTCAGCGCTTCAACGCGATGAAGAAGATGCAATCCATCGAACGACATCGCTACGAAAACTCTCTTTACACCAACGAGGAAGAAGATAACATCGTATTCGAAGACTTCGCCCGTCTCAGGATGAACGAGCCCGAGTAAATGGTGTATGAATAAAAAATATACACAACAAAAAAAAAAAACGAAAAAACTACGAAAAAAAAAACAAAAAAAAAAAGAAAATCAAGCAAGTTGATTAATACAGAATTTCATAATGTCATTACCATCGACAAATAAAATATTCGAATGTTTGACGATCAACAAAAATACGTGAGCACCTTTATTATTTAAACTGTAATGTCATTCTCATAAGATATTGTATTCAATCACTCAGTTTAATTAGATTATTTTAAAAAATGTAGTCATCAACTAATCACTTAATTTTGACACGTTGTATTCTTGTGTTTAAATTATTCGAATAAGTAACTAAGTATATAAAAATCTTTACCTTTCTGTAATCCTTATTATAAATTAAACTTCACCAGAAATAATCTTGACGTTTCTAACTCTCCCGATTTTATTGAAATTTTTGTTTATTGAAGTATCTGCAAGGACGTCTTGTACACCACTGACACCCAACTATAAGATGCAGTCCAAGTTACATACGATTTGCATATCCTATTGTTATTCGATTAAAAGGGTCTTAGATTTCCCCGCCCTATTTGGTACCCCATGCATATGATTATAAAAAAAAACGATTATGCAAAGGCGTTGTAGTATTCAGCCACGGTCCGGTCGTGTGTAGGCTACGGACAGATCATACAAAATTAGTTTGTTTTTAATTTGTTTATTATTTTTCAAAAAGATCAATATACTTTTTCACATCTGAAGTGAAGCCGTTCATTGCCATTTAAATTATCTGGGCAATATAATTAGATTATCTAGTTATGTACTTATTTACTGGTTACGTAGCGTTAACAAGATTATTGATTATTTTGTTGTTAGCTATAGAGGCAGTAGACAAAGACACCAGCACAACCTTAGTTTGACTTAATAGGTTTTCTATATATATATAAATAAATAGGTAAGGTTTCGACAAGAAATCAATTTACAAAATCTATTTCAGTAAGTTGGTATATCGATAAATTTAATTGAAACGAGTTTCATATTTTTATCCCATCCAGATTGATATTTATGAAATTGCAAAATTAATTAGTCTAATTTTTTTCCATAATATTTTGTTGGTCTAATTAGAAACGCCAACCCGCATTGAGCAAGCGTGGTGATCAAAGCTCAAACCTTCTCCGTTTGAGAGGAGGCCTTTGCTCAGTAGTAAGCACTTATGGGTTGATGATGATGATGATTAGAAACGTAAGCTATCACAAGACTTGTCAACTGTCATACATTTGTCCAGAGGAAAGAACAGGAAAGGTTATTCTCAGCTATGCAATCTTCTAAAAAGATTAAATCTTATAACAGAAATCGTAATTAGACCTCAAAACTGTCATATGGGCCCTTCTTTTTCTTCTTAGATTTTGACAAATCCCTATCAAAATACTACTTGATACTTACATGATACTGTGTTCCATTTCAATACACATGCGCTAAATACCACGACAGTAAACTACTGACCACAAAAATGTAAAGTTAAATGTCCCGGAAAATTTTAATGCGGTAATAATTATGCTGGTAGGTACAAACCTGCTTGCGACACAATAACTGCTTGAGCACGTAAATAAGCACTTACGTGCCCTTATTATTGATGAAAAAGTATAATACGTTCGTACGAAGTTAATAATACCCGTTTCAAGAATAAGGAAATATGTAGCTATTAGCGTCACCTTTTTTTGAAGGCTAATGAACAACCTATGTTTTGTGAACAGCTCCGCCCATGGACAATTGTAAGAACAGAGGAGTTACTGGTGTGTTGCCCGTTTTTGCTTCTGATTTAATTCTTTGCGGGATCCAAGACAGTCCCTTTAGAATCTGGGACGCCCTGGACTTCAATATCTCAGTGTTTTCATGCTTGTATCTACTGTAGATTTTGGTTACAAGAGTTACAGCGGTCTTGGGGACTGTGGAGCGCTTCACCCAAATAAAAATGAGTTGCCTGCCTATTTGGGGAGATAGTTGGAACTTCAATAACCTCACTGACTCTACAAAATACTTCAGATTGCCAAGTGCGAATTTGATTTGCATAAATACGATCTTTCTGATTGGTTGGTAATCACATTTGTTTTGCACCAGATTTTCTTCAGAGTACAATAATGCATAAAAAATAAAGCAGTAAGTAAGAGAGCCAATCTTTAAAAGATTCTTAAATAAAGAACAATGACCTACTATCTCATGACCAAAACAGGTCTGACGAGTTTTGGAAAATAGACCAGGAAGACAGTGTCCTTACATCTTCAACTGCGAAAAGGGTTCGTCCAAAAACCAGTCTGACCGCTTTCCAGTGTGGGAAAGGACAGTTACATCAGTGACCCTTTATTTGCATGTACACACAGGGGTCGAAGGAAGAGACTTGTGCGCCTAAACATGACTTTACTACTTGAACGCGCAATGAAGAAATATATACAGTAGATACCTTAAGAAGAATATTATCTGTATGACACCTAATCTTATATATATATAAATATCAATAGCACTTTTCGTAATTTTCAAAAATAAGAACGGGCTCACCTATCCAAGCAAATTGTTAAGGCTAACGTAATAAATAAAAAAACAGCTTGGCTGATTCTGAATAAACCTACTAAATAGTCCGAACAGACCCTAAACATTTGGTTTGGATTTGCCTTTAGAGATCAGTAAAATTAGGTTTCGGTAATTGTCCCATCCGCACCCCTTACATTTCATAATGTATCTGGAAATACGATTACAGGTAACTGCGATTTTTTATTTAAAAAGAGGTCAAATATTCTCATGTAATTTATTGCTATTTGGCACAATTTGAGGGTCTCCAAGTATAGGTACAAGTTTGAGTCTGCAATTGTCTCCCTTTCAGCAGGCATAACCGCTTCAATTAAGTATCAAAACCCCTTAAAATGGCCGTAAATTAGTTTGCGTATCCTGAATTAACACATGTAGATATTTATCGATCGCATACCGGCAGTAGTCGGTAAGTATTGCTTGCCAATAGTTACTCAAGGACAAAACCTGAATTCTTTACAACGAAAAGTTTCCATAATTGGATTTAAGTGTTTAATACATCTATCGATTCTAGGGACACTTATATAAATAGAAATGTAATTGATTATTATTGAAAATCCCTTATCCAAAAAATTTTCTTTTTCTGCTGTAATCCCTAATTTGGCCAACAATTCTGCGTTAGGTTCAGCAACATTTTATCTGATCAATCACATCACATCATCACATCATCAGCCCATAAGTTCCCACTGCTGAGCGAAGGCCTCTTCTCACGCAGAGAAGGATTGAGCATTAATCACCACGCTTGCTCAATGCGGGTTGGCGATTTCAAACTTATAATTAGAAATTATAAGTCCAGGTTTCCTCACGATGTTTACCTTCACCGTATGTCAGAGGTGTCTAAATAATCATAGAAAGTACATATAACTCGGAAAAAGTCACATTGGTACTTGCCAGGTTCGAACCCACGGCCTCATGCATGAGAAGTGGGCTCCTTAACCTCTGAGCCACCACGACATCTGATCAATAAAAAATACTTAATTGGTTAGTATTATCCAAATATATACCAACTCATATTCAGTTAATAATTACCTACAATTGATATCAGCAGCCAACTAAAATTCTTACCAATTACAACCGAAGATATCTTTTGTCATAGCAAAACAGGTCTGACGAGTTTTGGACAATAGACCAGGAAGACAGTGTCCTTACATCTTCGATTGCGAAAAGGGTTCGTCCAAAAACCAGTCTGACCACTTCCCAGTGTGGGAAAGGACAGTTACATCAGTGACCCTTTATTTGCATGCATGTTTTGTTGTTCCTTGCAATTTTGCAAATGTGAGAATGACACACGAACGTGAAGTTAGTAGAGCGTGAATGTGCCTACGGGTTTTGTACGGTTATTTTAGTAAAGAAATTTTAAGTACCTTGGCATGAAGAAGGTACGAAGATAATAATAATAACGTTATTGTGTCCAAAAATGGACACAAACAATATTGTTGGGTTTGGAGTCTTCATTTAAGCAGATAATGCCTGTATTTATAGACTTCGCTCCTTCACAACAATAAGGAAAGAGGCAAGATGATGAAGATGCTGCGATTGTTACGGTGTTATTTTATTTTAGGAAACCAATTTTTTTTAATTGCTTCTTGCTTATCAGCTCTGCTCATGAATACCTACAACATCAGAGCAGTAGCAAGAGCGTTACCGGCCTTTTAAGGATATAGATGATTTGAAAATTGGGCCTCCTGTAGCCTCACTCACACAACGCTATTATACTACCATCGAACAGAATGATGTTTTTTCATCTTAAACTAACAGTGTCTACCTCATCAATCTTTTTTAATATAATCAAAAATCTAGAAATAAAACTGACAAATCACATTTCAGACGCATAAAACAAAACACTTTTAAAACAACTTATCTTTAATGCCCATCATTTTTACGACACCCTTTTTTTGCTTGCTATTCATATCACCCCTTTGTGAAACAAGTGTCTTGCAGGGGTCACAGTACAATGAAGGTGAGTAGTAATATTTGCAAAGGTGATGGACAATGGTTCCCACGTTGGGACCGGTCAAACTGGTTTGCCTAGCCGTCCATAAAGGGTGGACACCCTGTGACCGTCTTGTCCTTTGTATTAGGACACTAGTAGGTAACTTACGTGATGGAGGTGATTTCGCAAGGATTAATGTGTGGGAATATTTGACGGTCGTTTTTAACGACTGTCTTTGAAATTGGAATCGGGATTTGTATAAACAAATAATAATGTTCAAAAAAATTTTAATATGGTACTTACGCATTTTTTAAATTAAAAATCGTCAAGCAGGGATCCAACTTGAGTCCAATTTGAAAACAAATGAAAAACGTAATACTTTAAAAACAGTTTTTGTCTCTAAAGTTTTGGATCGTATGTATCATTAGTACGTCCGCGAGTACTACGAACTATTTTTTATTTTTTTTTTGAGTGGCCAAAAAAAACATTGTATGTAGGTACTCTTCCACCCTAACATCCACCGACTCTGCTAATATGTTTTCTTTAATAAGCCTTAATTTTGAATTTTTGGGATTATGGAAGATGAAAGAGAAATATGTTCTAGTGCTTATATGTTCATGCCAGATAGTTTATTGAACTATGGAAGTACAAGCATTAGCACTCTTAAAACACGAATCTAACATGGCGGACTGCGGAAGTAGTAGGTACGGAGATATTAGTGCCGCTACGCCCCTGCACTGCACACCTGTTCAGTACCGTTATGTTGTAGCTTGATGAACAACAGAAAGTAATTAGAAGATTCTGGAAGATACTGAGAGAAATTTCCTTGGTTTTAAAGAAAGATTTTGCTGTACCTTTTCATCCGAATAGATTTTGGTCTTTTGGCCTTTGATTACCGATAATAGTGCTTTTTTGTGTAGAGAAAATCATCACATCGTGTTTTCTCTCGCCCGGGGTGAAAAGAGACAGCTTGTTAGACTCTTACTGACTAAAAACCTCCCGTTCCTTCTTCTGCTTCAAGACGAGGCCGAGGTGCCTTATTGCGCTAGCCCCGCAACTGACACAATACCTACAATAAAAATTGCCATTACAAAAAATTGTCAGTTTTTGACCTTGTAGCCCAGTTCCATATAAAGTTTCTTGATCTTTCTTGGTCCGTGTGTTACTTAGTTATACGTGATATTAAATTCCAACCAGCTTTAAATTCCAAATAACAAATACCTATGTTGAATTAAACTACCAATTTCAAAACTTGACAAAAGATAAAACGGCCCAACACACCATATTATTGATACCTCTACATCCATCAAATAAAAGATGCTGGTCCATTCACTAAAATTATTCATCTATAGGTGATGAAATATGAACATTTTATACTAACATTGCACTAACTACAATTAAGGAATCACAATACAGAATCTCTTTATATTTTTTATCAATCCCCGTTCCCCTTTTTTCATCTTAGACGCGTGCGCACTTTGCATCCCTATAGTGTATGATTTGGGGAGCATCGTTTGTCCCTGGTCCATGGGTGGTAAAAAAAAACAACCTGTTTGATTTATTTACAAGAATATTATCTATGTATTTTGTGGAGAGGAGTCAATAAGTATTATATTAATTTGTTATTTAAATAGTTCATTCATTTTATTTGTGTTTTGCATTAAAATTGTTTAACGTTTATGGTTTTAGTTTTTTAATTGTGTCCTCATTGTGACAGGTGTTGAGAAATAATAGTCCAATAACATTATGATTATTACGTATTTATATATTTATTTTCATTATCTCTTGCATTTATCTTATATGGATTTTGTATAGATTTACAAACCGCTGCCTGTGCTAGGATTTCTTATGTAGATATTTCTTCTTCTTTAACTTTTTACTTATTTATGTAAAACATGAGTACTTAAACGTTTAAATTTTTTCTGTTTCTTAAAGTAAACACTGTAGTGTTTAAACTGTTAGTGTTTAAACTAACAAAGGTATACCTAAATACAAACCCATAACCCGTCATAATAATTACAATCTTGATTATGACAAAGTATCAAGACAATAACGTCATCGCCCGCATCGTACTTAAAAGTTTACAACAAACCAACGCGCAACGATCAAGATTGTCTTCAGACCTGTCAAACTAAAAACATGGGAATTAAATGACCCTTTTACGCAACTTATTGTGAATCACTCAGACCCTCTATGGTCGTTATGGCAAAATCGTTGAAGTTACTGTAAGGGGTTACCTATCTTTTTAAAGAAAGGTGAATGTACCTTTGGCGTAAGGTGTGAGTGGCAAGTTCAAGGGATTTAATAGACAAAATAATATTGAGTTTTGTACAGATTCAATATCGGTCTCTGACTGCCTCGTTAATCGAGTAGACGTAAATACGACTGTCATGCAAGAGATCCTAAATCAAGCTAAGAATGAAAACTTTGAATTAAGGAATTTTTTTGATCTATACTTCTATACTAATATTATAAAGAGGTACAATTTGTAAGTTTGTATGTTTGTAAGTTTTGTGTAGGGGCTAATCTTTGGAACTGCTGGTCGGATTGCCAAAATGCTTTCACTGATAGATAGCTACAATGTTCCAGAGTGCTATAGGCTATAAAAGATCACGCTACGATTAAATGGAGCCGAACAGCGGGTAAAACGGCGTGAGAGTAGCTAGTATGATATACAGCAATAGGCTCACTTCCTATTACACTAATATTGGAGACAAGGAGGTACCATCACGTGCCCACCCTTGCTCAAGGGGTTAAAACGGTTTGGAGTTGATGATGACACTTATCTAGTACACTTAATTTGACCGAAATGACACCCAGAGACGTAATAAGAAATATTTCTCTAGCAAAAAAGAAATAGAGTTTATATTAATTATTTGTATTTTTATCTTCTTATTTGATGATCAAACGATAGACATTAACAATACAATGTTGATTTATAAAAAGAATTATACGAAATTTAAATTAAACTATTTGTTATGTTGCTGTCTCGCTAATTATAGGTAATTAATTTAGTACTTTTATTTACTTATTTGTTATAGCAATCTTGTTGCAACACTTAATTACAAGTTATTATTTAACAAAGAAATTATAATTAATGATCATATTTATTACAACTTGTTATTATGATGAATATTCTTAGTAGGAAGTTTCTAAGTTACTAGTGCAGCAATTAAATACTTAGATCAGGCTAAGTCTAGACAGATTTGAAAAGTAAAAGTGAACCTGTTATAAATTATATCGAGGTATTAGGAACATTTTCTATGCACTGTTTGTTATGCGTACCTACCTGTAGTAAGTAAACAAGTATATAACTAAAAAAAATATCATCATATACATTTTTGGATTCTATCGTTTCAATCGTAGTAAGTTGAGACACAATAGTGTAGTAAGTGTGGGAGAACCAAGCTTCGGCACGAAGGGGTCGGCTCAACCGGAGTGATACCACGGCCTCACAGAATACCGGCGTGAAACAACCAACAGTGTTGTGTTTCACCTAGTGAGTGAGGTTACCGGCACCCCTATCCGCAAGAGGCCGGCAACGCACTTGTAACTCCTTTGGTGTTGTGGGTGTCCATGGGCAGCGCCGATTGCTTACCATCAGGTAATACGTCAGCTCGTTTACCAACTTATATCATAAAAAAATATTATGGCAATAGGTTTGATTAAATATTATTAAAATCACGTCTCCTAGCTTACCAGATTCTGTACCATCAAATTGCTATTACCAAAACATAATTATCTAAGAATAAGTGTGAGAAAGCCAAGCTGCGGCACAAATAGATCAGTTCAACCGAAGTGATTTCACGGCCTTCGAAGTTTAAAAAAATACACCAGTATAGGATACGGCGCTTTATTCCACAAAATAAACATGTTAAGAAGTATTCGATGATATTAAAAGATAAACAAGGTTTTCGTTTCACGTTATTAACAAGAAAGCTAACTTCCTTTTCCTGACTAGCTTTCAACTCGTTAGGATTTTACTTTCCAACACTAAAGACATTAATTTGCTCATTTGCATTCAACGTTGCTGTAAAACCTGTTCATATTTTTATGAATGTATTTTCCTGCGTTTAAATCAACACCTTAATGAAAATTCCTTAACCAGAACTAATTTATGAGACAACTTGCTAAAATAAATTATAATAGGCCAGCGATTTCCAAAAGATTTAACTTGTCACTCAAAACGCGGTAGGCGTCGGAATCTCGTGATCACAGTCGAGTACTACATTCAATAGTCCAAAGAAACAGTCACGATTTATAGACGTGACCCGGCAACACAAAAGCGTTAGAAAAATAACAACACAAAAGTAACAGTAGCAAAACTTTTAATTATAAAAATAAATTACTATAACAAAACTACATTACTAAACTAATCTCCTAGAGCAACTTTCTAATTGTAATTATTATGCGGTGCTATTGGCTGCAACACGTAAGCTTGCCCCGTTGCTCTGTCTACAACGTGACCAGTTGAAGGTTCTAAGAAAAGTCTTGGGACGGTTGATGCAGCAGTCACGTCTGATTGGTGATGCTGCCTAACTCCAGCTCCACCTTCATAAGGAACGAAGCGTGGTGGCTCTAGATGTTGCTTAGGTGCTGGAGGCGCTTGGGTTAAGTACTGAGGCAGCTGCTGAGTCTGTGGTAAGTAATGTGTCAAGTCTGGCTGTTGTTGATTCAAGTACGATGAATGATCTGGTTGATTTGTAGGTGCAAATTGATTCTGTTGTTGGTCTTCATCATCCTTGTGATTCACTACTAAAACTACTTGATTCTTTTCTTTCGGTTTAGCATCGTCATCCTTCTTTCTATAGTGTTGTCTCTTTGGCTTTGGTTTCTCATAAGCTTCCTCTTCTTCTTCTTCATCATCATCATCTTCAAATTTCTCTTCATGAGAGGTTTCAGCCGCCTCCTGTTCTCTATTATTATTGTTGCGTTCTCTGTTATTTTGTTTTCTAGGAGCTGATTCTTCTGAAGATTCCGATTGGATTGACTTTGGATGTTTCCTTTCTGATTTACGACTTCTTTCAACTTTTGGGTGGGCTCGTTTGGCTCGTCCTGTTTCTTCATAGCTCGACCTCTCTGGATCATATTCTTCTTCGCCGTAGGTTGGTGCATTGTTGCTTGGTTCATCGTAGGGATCGTCGTTGTGAGATTCTCTGTATGAGCCATCATCTCCATCATCTCCAATATTGTCAGCGTTACCTGCATGATTCAGATCCCAGTAATGTTCTCCATACCCTCCCTTTTTGTCACCCCAACGTACCTACAGTATAAGAATGTATTAGTCATTATTAACAACATGTTTGTTTGTAAAATTCTAAATCTTTAGTACTTTTTAGTCGTTAATGTGTTGAGTAGGTTTTTTTAGAAACAGATGTCAGTATTAGTTGAAATGAAATGAAAGAAAAGTTAAGGCAGTCGTCACAAAACTATGGTATATATGAAGTAAAATGATAGGAGAATTAAAGTTAATGTAGGTTTTTATTTAAAATTGGTTAAATAAGTAAACACTAAATAGCCTTGATCAAATAAAAAAGAAACATTTATAACCTTGAAACGAAATGCATAAATAAAATATTTGCAGAACTTTCTTTTGAACTGGTTTGAATACCTTATGGAACCAATATTATAAAGAAGATGACAATTATTGAATGAAAAGAAAATTCTGCTTATTAGTAAGTAATAAATAAGAAGCACAGTAAGCATACTTTGGCAGAGAACAGTCCTTCAGAGGGCTTGGCCCTCTCATGTCTCTCAGTGAAGTGTCGTTCGCTGCCCAACCGATGTCCCTGATCAAACTCATCAGCCTTCGGCAAGTGTCTATACCTTCAGCCAAGCGAAGCAAAGCGGAAAAGAGAAAGAAATAGAAGAAGGTTAGAGACAGAGCGAGATAATAGATGTGTTTTACTTTTCCCATGTCCCTGTGGTTCTTAAAGTCTTTCTTCTCATATCGTTGCTCCCATGTGTTGGGGTCCTCGCAGACGTGACCGAACTCTATCTTGTATGGACTCAACTGTACTGAGAAAAAATCCCTATAAAGCAAAGTATTTACCATCCTTACTAATAACATTGAAAATATTTCAGATTTGCTCAACACTAAACTTGTCAAAGAAAAATGGACTCTAAAGAACATTGAAGAAGTTAAAGTAATGACTGTTTGTCTTAAGTATCAATTAGTCGAAAATAACTAAAACCAGATTAGAATGACAAAGTATAATTACGGGCGACCGAAACCCCTTTCTCTAATTGGTATAGCGTAAAGTATGTCAATGTTTGGTTATTTTGAAACCTATTTGCATGCTGGCGACAATAGAATCCAATTAGCATGAAGGTTGGTAGTAAAGTTGAAATCTAAAACGAGGCTGTTTCACGAGAACTAGTCATTTAGTAATTAGAACTAGACCTGAGACAAATTTTGAATCATATAAAAGAGCGAAACTGTAGAAAGAATACATTAAGGGCTGATTTTGCAATGATTAGATAAAAGTTATCTCGGGAATAATTATGATACTGTCGCATCAGAATGTTTGTATAAGACCAACAGGGACAGCAACAATTTTATTCCTCAGATTACATTTATATGACTATTGAAAAATCTGCCCTAAGAGATTTAAACAAGTAGAGAAAAAATAAAGAAGAAAAATCTAAGAATACTTACTGGAAGAATTTTGCTTGAGCTTCAATAGTGGAAGGATTGCTGGGAGGTGTTCTGACGGTAACTGGCCGAGCTGTTCCCCACACAGACCCTACGTGAAGAGCCAGAAGGCACCAGAGCCATTTCTGAAAAGCAAAGACTTTTCCATCAGCAGGCAACCACTAAATCAGGTGAGTGAGCATCAATGAAAAAATAATGAAATTACTTTTAAGTGGATCAATTGTGATATTTTTCTTTTTCTGTGACGTTCAGAATATGACATCAAAGGTAAGATTCTAAAGTATAAAATTCTAATAACTACCTATGTTTTATTCGCAATCGCAATTTAAATATCACTGGTAAATAAACAAATGCAATGTTTCCAAATTCAAACAAAGTTAGACACAAAACAACAACAAATACAAAACCACAATGTCACTTTAACACTTTCTCTGCAATAAAATCGATTTTTGATTGAATTTGTTATTACTGTTTTCTTCGATAATAATAATATTTATTACGATTGAATTTAATGTAAATAATACCTTATTGTCAAGACGTTGTGACATCTCGGCGGTTTGATTGAAGGTCTGTGCCCAACATTGGCGGTAGTATCATTTATAGACAAGACTGTTACAATTCACTGTTTCCAGTGATCACCAACCATTTGTATTTTGTTTCTTATCATAATTAAAGTAAAATGTACATTTATTCGAACAGTTTCTTTTATAAAATAAAAGAGTCATCAAGCCAGAATATTATTTATGAAATTAAAAACAGAGAGTTGTAGGAAATAATATTTTCTATGTAATACATGCGATAATATTACACATCTTTTTCGTGTTACACGAAGCCCCTACAGTAGGGGCTAATATATGTATTTAAATAAGCTAATATATATATTTTTTCACACTGACTGACTGACTGACTGCTTTTAGACGGAGTTCTCATTTCACGCCATTCCTTTACTCAATACTGAACAGAGTCCACGGATACCCTTTAAATGCTTATTTTATATTACTATAAACTTTATTCTATTTATATATCTAATAATTTAAGTGTCGAATTTCATCATTAAATTAAGTATATAAATTAGTTTTGTTGTTATGGAAAATGTTGCCCCACATAAGGATTTTCCTGTATTAAGGGTGCGTTTACAAATTATACAATTTCATGAGACAACAATTTGTGGATTATACAAAATCTTGTTCCGTGCGCGACTCGTTGCGCGGCAGCCAGTTGCCCAGCCAACCGCGCCAATCGTGCAGTCTAAACGTAAACGTATACACGAATAAACGTATGGTTCATTAGTAAAATAATTATATAAGTCTTGATATCAAATAAATTAAATAGGAATTAACAGTATCTATTGTTTCTCTTTACGGAAATGCGTCTCAAATGTTGTTTGTCTCTGGCAATCTCAGATGCGCCCATTACGAATCGTGCCGCGTCATTGGCTTTCCGCTGCCCGGCTTTCCGTGTCAAATAATTGTGGAAATTATTCTGTTTCACACTATTATTATAGATTAAGATAAATAAAAAAGTTTAATCTGTAAGTAATTACTCAAGAACTGTTTTAAATATTGAAATATGGCAATTTTTCATTAACTTCATTTATAATGTTTAGTGATTTACTAATATACTATATACATACCTATGTATCATATAACTCGCACTTATGAAATGGATATACTATAAATTTTAGAGCTATAAATTGCCATGAACAAAGGTCGTAAATATCCAACAGAATAAATGACGCCCTTTTGGGAAGTAAAACAGCTTGCACTATATCTACCTTTTTTTAAATTATTTATTTATTAAAGCTTTTGCACATAATTATATTTATATACAAGGTATGGCAGGACTTAATGCTACAGGCGTTTCCTTTCTTCTTTCTCTTTTTAATGTGATTAGTCGCAAATGAATCTATCTTAGATTACCTGATGGTAAGCATTCAGCCGTCGATGAACGTGGTGTTCACAACACAACGATTGCGTTGCCGGTCTTAGGCTTTAGGGATTAGGTTTCTGTAGATAAAGAGATTGGTGGACGGCATGGCTTGGGCCTCCATTAATATGAATATAGCACTAGCTACCGGCGAAACATAGCGCTGTGTTTGTTTCACGTCGGCCGCGGTATATCTCTGCTAGAGCTGGCCTATTCCTGCCAAAGCATAACTCTCCCAAACATAGACTATTTTTGGCCGTCATAATAAATGTAAGTTTATTGACTTAAGAAGTCTGCACATTATGTAGAAAACTTAACAATATACCGGTGACCTTGTAAACACTGCTTTTAAAATGATACAACAGATTACAAGCCAATAAATCATTGGAACAATGATTGTGTAATAATGTTTCAGCTATTGAATAACAGCTGATTGGTGTTTCGGAAAAAACAGTTTAAAATCACTTTTATAAGGCAGCACGCAATTAGAAAGAAATGGAGCGGACGATCCTAAAATGGTCTGTTGTTTCCAATAGGAAATGTTATTTAACAGTTTTTTGCTCATTATTGTTTTGTTCTAACTAGAAAAACAGTTTGATATTGTCCATTAATTTCAAATGCCTTTGTCTTACTTAATGTTGAAATTATTTTTCTTTCTCTTATTGGGTAGTTTCCTAGGTCAAAAATAAATTAATTCGATGTTTCAATAATATAAAATATTGAAAAATAACTATACTTTTATTCATCGATCGATCGGTACACCAAGTTTTAGATTTTTTTTAGCTAATTATTGTGTAATAAGTAACCTATTTGACGCAAAAATGTTATGACGTCATAGCTCAGTTTTTCATACAAATTTCATAGAAAAGTATCGTTTTTGACGTTTGGATAAAAGTATTGAATTTGACTAGTTGGAAACTACCGTATTACGAGATTAGATTTATCTTGACCTATCCTTTTTTCGAAAGTATTATTTCTCCGATGACACATACTCGTAGATGTACAAATTGTGTAGGTCTAGATCTTGTTTTTTACATGTAATAAACTACTTAGTGCTTGATGGTAAGCAGTTAAGTGATGCAATCGATGATGGCACACTAGTTTATTAAGAGCCTATTCGGACGGAAAGACTGCAGCGGGCAAACTGTTCCAGTCCCTCGATGTACGCGGTATAAATGACGAGGCAAAACGCTTAGTCCGGGCCGCAGGTGTCTCAACAACGTAAGGGTGGATATTTGCCGTACGCCGGGATGTCCGAAGGTGAAATTGGGATGTCGGAATCAAATCGTGCAATTCCTGCGCACTCTCTCCAAAATGCATCCTGTAGAAAACCGCAAGGCTGGCTTGCGCCTAGGCTAAAATATCCCTTCTGGTGACATACAAAACTAACCTAAGTAAAAATATAAGAAATAGCTTAACAAAACTTTATTTTGATGATGAATGATTATTATATGAGTAATCAAAAATTCTTATTAGTCATCAAACCAAAACTATTCTGACAAGACATTTGGGATGAGAACATTATATTCTTCCCAATAAGACTTAAAATCGCAATTCCAATAACCTCGTTCATTTCTCGCTTAGCTTTGAACATTATTGTATAGTGTTTACTATAAAAATAAATACTTAAAACAATGTAATATCTGAACCAAGTACCGTGTAATGAGTTACTGCTATTACGCAAGATAACGTAATTACTCTTTTAGGTTAGTGACACAATTACAGGGTAAAAAATATTTAGCAAATAGACCATTGTAATAAGGTTTAAATTGTCATTACAACTTTTCCTACATAATAGGGAGGGCAGCTCTGAAGGTGAGAAGTCGGCTCCGCCCAACACCACCAAAAGAATTATCTCTAGATAAAGCCAACGGCTTTGACTTTCTGCCCTGGAGCTGCATTCTAGAGGCACTCCGGTACCACCTGGTGTCTGCTCACCTCCGTTGTTTATTCAATGATAATTCGGCCAAAAGGACAGGTTCATCATAGATGATGAACCTGTGATGAACCCCAGTCCCCCAGTCCCCAGTCGCGGTGTTCCACAAGGATCGGTCCTGGGACCACATTTACGCTCCTACAGGTTTTCCTGACGAAAAAGTTAATAATGAAATATTGAACTACATATAGTAAATCCCCATGTGTTTAGGTACAAGTCTTCTGCATTTTTATACATATCAATAAAATTTATTTCTTTAATAATTTAAATGGGTACCTAACCAATATAATAACGAGTACACAAAATATTACTATGACAACATCAATACCTAATTTTGTAACTTAGTTTCTAATATATAATTATTAACTTCATAACAAACCAAAATGAAATTTAAACACGTGATGTATCTATAAATGCCGTCACTGTGCATTGTCACCTCAATTGTCAGGTTTGTAAGTTTTTGTTGCAATTTCATACAATTTTTGACAATGATTGTCGCAACTGTGTGATAGTGTGTACATAGGTAATAATGTTGTTCGTTAGTTCGGTTGCGAATTAGTGCCGTGTGAAGCTACATTATAAAGTGATAGAGCATTGTTTGTCTTGTTTCGACACTTTATTGATATTACTTGTTATGTTGCACCATGCAGAACTTAATGGCGTTTGAGTAAAAGGATTTTGAAAATCGAAGGAGGTTTTGCACGCAGTCTTCATATTTCTTTCTCTTTTTTGAAACTTACTTATTGGTTGAGAATTGTAATACAACTGGTGATAAATGTTTGTCACATTGCAATCATCGCTATCATCCCCATCAATATCAACTATAAGATATTTATCTTTAAAAAAAGGTTTATCTAGTTTCTTACTCGTTCTTCTCCATTCGAATCCATACTTTAGAACGTGTGCCTAGCTTCACCGATGAACAGACTGTTAGATATATTATTTTCCTTTGACTTATCATAAGTAAATATTTATGCTTTAGATGAAATAAATGACTTAGAATTTGAATCAGAGGCCTCCTTCAATCTTCTATCTTCTGACGAAGAGAAGAGGGTTGTTTTCAGTCAATAAGAATCTAACACTCACTCTCGACCTATCTAGGGCAATAATTGCACATCATGTAACAATTAATAAGCGTAGAATTATAAAGCGTGTAAAAATTTATAAGACTGTATTCTAAGTGTACAACAGATCTGACAAATGTATTGTCGCCACACAAGTAAGACTTGCGGAAATGTACTCAGACTTCACTTACGAACTGTATGCAACTAATTGTGATCATTACCCGGAATTATTTCATAACATTTTAAACTTTCAAACCAATCTCTCATTAGCCGATATGGAGCGCAAAATTGTTAAAGGAAAACCAACCGTATTGCTTTCCAACTTACCTTATAAGTATTTATTTGCACAATGCTTTTTGTTTAAAGCTATTTAATTATGACAATAAATGAGTGATTTTCTAGAGTAATAATATACATAGTATTTAGACACCACTGACGTACAACGAAGAAAAAAGAGTGAGAGACTTAGAATTTCGTGAGCAAGCGTGGTGACTAATGCTCAAACCTTCTCTGTATGAGAAGATGCGTTTGCTAAGCTATGGACACTTATAGGTTGATAATAACCTAGCATAAGAACATTTTACATGTGAAATGTTATTGAGTATTTCATGATTATTTCCAG